GTAAGACCATAAAAACAAGACCACGAGGCTGCGGTGTGTGACGCGGTCTGCGATTTGGGGGGGCTATTTGCTTTCTTGCTCCACGGAGGTGGGCTCAATGATATTTCCCTCCTCGTTTGGTCTCTGTTGTTTCCCCCAGAAGAGATGACCTATATTATCCAGGATGGGAGATCAAAGAAGGCTATCTCACTGATCTCATGAAGCTTGCATCTCACAAACCCTGAGAATTAGTCCTGATTGCGCAACCGCTTCCCAGCGCTGCTAAATGTGGCCGTGAAGCTCAACATGATGAAAAACAGCTTCTGCTTTAGTAGCTGCTCAGCCCACAGGGCTCATGATCCTGCAGTTTAAGTGGACACGAGCTTTGGAGGCTCAGTATTGCGATAATTCTCTTCCTGAAGCAATGCAACACGCCGCTGCTCAGGGCTGTTAATTCAACCACCTCATAATATCAATAGTAAGAAATTATACCTTCTCATTGTAAACTTCGACAAAACTCCCTTCTAACTGAAAATAGTTGTCTGGATCCTCTATTTAGGGCTTTCTTCCATTACAAGAATGTGTTGCTTCCACATTTCGCTCGTGAATTCCCATTGGGGCTACAAGCAGGCGATATGTGAGCTAACGCCGGCCTCCGCTCATGGTCGGGTCCTCGCCCACCTATTCATCAGGCGTTTTCATGGCTGAAATGAAACAAGGTCACTGGTGGGGACTGGCTACCTGCTGGGAGCACGCGCTCACCTGCTGCTCTTCTCTCCCCCTCCCCTGATGCTTCATCCCCCACCACCCGGGCACCGGCCCCTCCGTCTGCGCCAACCGGGGCGTCTCGTTCCATTTCCAGCCCTCCACGTGACGCCGGAGACGCATGGCTGCCGAACATAGCAACGGGCGGAGCAGAAATGCCCATATGTCTCCATGACCTGTATCAGTCGCCGCTCTGTCACGCATCTCATTAGCCACGACCAGAAAGTTGCAAATGGACCCTGACGCTCGTTAATCAAACCGGGTTCTTCAGGAGGTGCGGATGAAGGCAGACCAGTGTGGATTTGTGCATTTGTTTGGATAAAATTGGGTAAAATATCAAACATTTGAGCTCAGACTGGATCGTTGTGGATCCTGAAATGTACTGCGTTGTGGTTGGATGAGGAGAGCATCGGCTTTTATGGTCATTTATTTCTCTTTGGCCCTGTGAGTCTGTTGGGATTTACACATGATGGCTTACTGACCGATTTAAAATCAATAATCACGCAAGGACACATCTGAGTTCCATTTTGTGTTTTAAGATTACCGTAAAAATACACTAATGAGGATTAATCCACCTGAAAACGGGGTGACAACTAATTTGGCGTAATTCATTCATCATGTCTTTCCTGTTTTATCTTCTCTTCATAGACTCCCTGTTGAAAATATGCTCCTCCCATGTTCTAAGCATCTCAACCTCCTCATGGTAAAGCTCATATCATGTCGATAAGATATCACAGATGGATATTATCCAAACAGAGCACTTTGCTCTCAGACTGCAGCTGTACTTGTGGTTCCTAAGTTTCCAAAAGTTGAGCAGGGGGTTATCAGGCCCCTCTTTGTGGATGCAGCTAGTTTGGCTGTAGCAATAAGAGGTGCACTCGACCTTTAAGATTCAGCTTCAAGCGTTGCATTTAAAGCTTATTGTTTGGGGTAGTTCCGATTAAATACCTCAGAGTTACATTCCTCAGACCTCCCATGATGCACCTCCCCTCCCTTTGCTCTGTTTTATTCTCCATGCACACATGACATTGATTTTGTCGCTATCTTGTATTTTACTTGTGTAATATCTTTCTTGGCAGGTAGTGTGTCCTGGTGTCATGATGGTATCTTCCCCCGCTTTCCCCTTCATTTTTGCATTACCAAGCCGATGATATGTGCTCATTTATAGATTAAATGAGCACTGAAGTACTTACATTAGCTGTTTTTATCAAGTGGAGAGAAGACAAAAAATGAAAACATTTTTTAAAAACAGTTAAAGTCTCATCACTTGAAGAAAAAAACATATTTTTGCCATTTGTGAGGCCAAGAACCAAACTAAGCATATCAAAATGGGATCACACCAGGTAGGATAGCCTTCATGTTATGGACTTAAGTCCACCATAAACATTTAAGAGGACTGTTAAGAACCTAGACCCTTCATTTCCCCTGGAAGAAGTGACTAATAATAGAGGGGTTAATGGGAATGTAGTCTTGACAATAAATCTTTAAGGCTTCTGTGAAAAGTCTTACTATTTCAGTTGGTGTCACAGGCTGAGCTTTGGGAAGAAAGGACTAACACGCTGTTTATTTTTATCTTCCTGACTCTCTCATCAATGAAATATTCTTAGAATAAGTGAGTGACGCCAGCCTAATCCATCAAGTGTGATTGCGCATCTAACAAGACACAAGATAGATCCTTCCTTCTGTCTCAGCTCAAGGGGAGGAGGGCTCTTAACTTTCCCCCTGTGAAACCCTCTGACTCTTAGGCAGTAATGATGACAACGTCTCCTGGAGGGTGTTGATCTCTCACAGAGCCCAGTTCCAAGTTCCCAATTAGCTTTTAAATCCAGGCTACGAAGCCCCTGAAGCTCATGAAACTGCTTCAGATGGACCACGTTGCTTCCGTCCAGCATTATACATGCGGAAGGAGTCTTGTGGGGAAGGAGTTAGAGGACAAAGGGAATGTCTTACTCCGAGCGGCTGCTGTGTGGATGCAGCAACAGAGCTGGTTGGGTTTCAAGTGGAGAGTCACTACAACTATTTTTGACACAGCGCGTTACATGTGAGCCTCACCCCGGTGCGCACTCTCCGAAGCTGCCCGGATGTGTTAGGAGTGATTTGTTTTTTTTGATAAGCATCAGAAAATAGTATCGTGGCCGATGCGATGGGGCCTGAATAGAAGGGAGAGAAATCACTCGCGGTGGACTGGTCGGAAGAGTGGTGTCTTAAATAACTGTGACAGACATGATATGATCACCGAGGAATAAATTGAATTATTGAATTACTGCTGCAGTGTGGATTGGATTGTCCCTCCCTACAGAACAAAGATGAACAGTATTAGAAGGCTGGGCCTCAGTATCTCCCTTTTTTATCGTTCCTTTACCTCTTTTCTCACTTTTATGGTCTATTCTTCCCTTTGTTATGACACTGAGGGTCCCTCCTCAGTTCATCACCGCGATGTCGGTGAGTTTAATTACTCGGGATGTCTTGATAATAAATGATTAACTGTTTCAAGGTGCAAGCATAAAGGCGAGTTGGAAAGTCTGCAGAAAGGTTTTTTCCCCTTTAAGAGTGTGCAGTAATGTAGGTCACAGAAATTATATTCTTCCCAAAGCTGTTCGATAGCAATTCCCCGAATGTCTCTCCTCATCCCCACACTGTGTAAAGACTGCAGTATGCATTTAATATGTTGAATTGATCAAGTAGTCCAAGCGCTACCCAAAGCTCATCTACCACTGTCAAACTGAGGCCTGTTTGAGGGAGCTGATGGCGAATCCAAGACCCTGCTCTGTAGGTAGCAACATGATTCTAAACTTTACTTTGCTTTGATAGCAGGGTCCTTCCACTCCCCTCTTTTTCATCTATCCCCATTGCACCATCTAATGAAGAAGAACACATACATGCTATGTCACCGGGAAACAGAGTGAAGGGGAAATGTGTCCAGACGATTCCTCATGGAAATTGAGAGCTGCTGACAGGAAATGTAATCTTTTCAACATGTAATATTGCTGAAGGATTTACGTGCAGAATACAATCTGGCTCAGAGTGATAACTGAGTTTGCTTGAAAATGTAATTTTAGAAAGTCTAAGGTTAAAAGACAATAATGAATATAACATTTTAGTTTTTTTCCCAGCTCTGTTTAACCCTATAATAACATGCGTATCACATTAGATTCATGCGGTTTCTGAAATCTACGGCGTCTGAGACCTTTTTTCATCTTTTAATGGCAAAAACGTTGCTCAAAACCCTGTTGTACACAATCAGATACACCTGAGAACAGCCGGCACTTTTCAGATTGTGTCCGTGTGACCTCCAAAATCTGACATCCTAACTGAGGCCTTTAAAGTCTGAGACGTGGCTCTGAGGGTTTTATTTTTCTGAACATTCCGTGCTTCGACCTTGGGGTGGACTTACCGGGATGTCCACGATTGGCAGCTGCTTTGAATGATTTACCCTTGCGAATAATATTTTTCATCCAAAAATTTTAAATGACTTATAACCCTTTCTAAATGGATGGAATGTAGCACTTCCCTCTCGAAGATCATTGCTGGTTTTCTCCGTAACGTCGTACACCCACCTGAATGCTTCAGACCAGCAAACTGCCAAAACATCTGCTTTTATGGAGGTGCTCCTGCTTGATTAGCTCTAATTCACCAAATGTGTTTGATTAACAGCACCTGCTCCTTCTCATTCTCCTATTACTCGTAACGTCAGCTTGTGCCTCTTCACCTCAGCAACTTTTTCATGAATAAATCAATGTAGCATGGCGTAATTCTGTCCCCCTTGCATGTTTTCGTATTTTAAATTGAATATCTAGACCATATAAGGTCCTGATTAATTTTCTTTGTGTTTGGGAGCATGTTTATGAGATTAGAAGCCTCCAACAGAAGCTTAGACAAAGCTTTTGTGCGCCGCTGTATCTACCCAAGTGCACAAGCTTAATGAAAACTGCTCCAGACCCTCAACTGTATTGGTTAACACAAGAGAGATTAAAGAAAGTTCTTTAAACCTCTCTGGATTACGTCCCATGTCCGTGCACACTTGACACCAATTGCAACATGCAGGCTGGAGTTTTCCCTGCATAATCCGCTAATTTATGCCACAAACAAAACACATTTCTGGGTCATAAAAATTCGCAGTAAACTCTCTGGAGCATCAGCACTCAGCTTTGTTATGCATGCCTCCTTTGCTGTACAGCTGCTGCTTCTGTCTCACTTGTCACTGGAACACATCTGGACTCAGTCTTATTTAATGTGCTTAAACACGGGGACTAGGATACAAGCAGTTACAGCAGTGTAACCCGAGGGGAAAGGTAATGGAGAGGTAAGAACATTATGTAAGGGATGATTAATCTTTTTGTATTTAAAATAGCTTTTCTCTGACCTAAACAATTTGAAGTGCAATTTGAAGCTTATTGCATGGGGATTTTTCCCCGCCATTTATGTCAAATATAGGCTATGCATATGGGAATAGTAGCCCGATCTTTCCATTTTCCTAATCATTCCTAAGATGTTATGTAAAAACTAAAGGGGAGGGGGGACAAATCGCTGTATCCAGTGGGTTTGTCTTTTTTTTTTTCTGGATAGAAATCTTTAGCCGGCAAAAAAAAAGCTTTCTGGAGCACAAATCATACAGTATATTAACAACCCTCGTTTTCCACGTTGCCCAATAATCACCAGCATTAGAAATGCGGTTGGCCCGCCCCTGCCGAGGTCTATTGTGAATCCGCGTTCAGCTGGAATCCACTCTTCCAGCTTTGGCACCGGAGTGGCGCACCACGACCCGCACAGCTGAACCAGGAGCGCGCCTTTGAAGATGTTTGATAGCCCGGCCGCGATTTCTGGTAAGAGACGCGCTCTTTCCTTAACCATTCCCATAATTGATTTCACCTCCAACATTTTCTGCTGTGCCTTTACACGCAGTCGAATGCCAGTGCGTCTATTTTAACAGCGAGATCTTGATGCGTTTAGTCGAGGTTCAACGAAGTCCTTTTGATTCCGCCACATACTGATTTAGTTTAAGATCATTTGGGATCGACGAACAGCACTTTTAGGGCGTTGGACGAAGACCAATGCTCACCAAAGTCCGTGCATATTCTGCTTTTTGTTGCATTGCAATGAATGTATCTCGCTTCGTCGTGTCTATGTTGCGCTTTATCTTTCATATGGGAGATGTTTTGAGAACAAATATAAGAAACAGTAACGCTTCCGACGCAGACCTTTTCACGCTCAACTTTTTTTTTTTTATAGCCCCGGCGTTGCCATTAGATACCAATTTCTTACAAGTTGAGAATACAGAGCAAGGGGGATCTTAATGGTTTATACAGTGGGGGCCATAAATATCACGGCGCAGTTCTGAGTTGTAGTAGTTATGAAAGCATGGGCTTCGTCAGGCCGTGACAGGGCTATGGACGCCTGTCATCCCTCTTCACCTTGCGAGCCCTCCCAAAAAAAAACCCTCGGAGTGTTTGGCTTTGTGCTGTCGCCGTGGCTCTGGACATTTTCAGGGCCACCTCCAGCTCCACGGCAGCTCGTATTTTTTTCTTCGCGGGATTTTTTCCAACAGAAGGGAAACAGATGCTCGGTAATGTCAACAGACGATTACTCATGCAACATTGCGCAAAATAAAATATGCGCCCCCGCAGCTTGGACGGAGCGGGGAAGGTTTTGGAGCCCTCTCCTCTCCTCTGGAGCGGGCAGCTTCCTGTTCAGCACCGCAGACAGAGGCACAGTTCGGCTTGCCCACACCCACCTTTTGGTCCACCTTACCCCCCCATCCTTTCTCTCTTTCCGAGCGGAGACGCAGGTCCGCCCACGCCGAGTCGTTTTTTTTTTTTTTTTGTGCAGATTGACTCGCAGGAAGGAGGCATTTGCGGGGTTATTGGAAGTGATCTACAGAGAAAGTCGCCATAAACAGCAGCTGAGTGCCGGTGAGTTGTTTGCCAAAAGCTCAGGTGCAGAACTCCGCGTTCCACTTTGCCAGGCAATAACTTCCATCATAAAGAGATTTCAGGGCCTTTGGTCGTCATTCTGTTTTTGTTTTTTTTGAGAGTTGCCTGGAGAGCGGCGCCCTGGAACACATTAAAACGTTTGGACAGTCCAGAGAAATATGTGCAATAACTTACTACTCAAACCCAATCACGGGTGATTCATCCAAAGAGATCACAAACTGCATGATCAAGGAGGGAAGGTCTAACATGTGGTGAGCAGATGTTTGGAAGAGTTACCTGTTGTTGGCTTTGCTTCCCCTTGGACATCTACCGCAGCGACTGGATGGCACTGAAAAATCAGAAAGGTTGAAAGCAAAACACAGATGATCTGAAAATATGTGTATTCAAGTACAAATAGCTGAAAGTTCTTGCTTTTGCTGTGCTCAATGCGAAGGAGGCTGTCATCTCGAGGCAGGCCGTGGCGGTTGAAGACTTTGGATGGTAGGAAAAGGGGGTCGGTTTAGCAGATTGGTAGGAGAGAGTCAAGGAAGCGAAAGAAAGCCTTTCTGAGTTGGAGAGAACATGCCTGCTGGCTTTCTGTCTAGACACATTACATTTCCGTTGGCTGATATCGCACCAGCATACGAGTAAATGGCACTTTTTATTCCCCCCGTCAACTTGGGTTTTCGTTGCTTTTTCGAACAAGCCACTTTGCCTTAAAAAAATCTAAAAAGTATGTGTCTTTCTTTCTTGCGGCATGAAATTACCACTTTTAGATGAACCCATTTGATCTCATTTTAGCATTGTTAGCTTCTCTTGTTGAATAATTGTCCATGTCAAAGATGCTGATAGTGTACTCAGAGAGATGTCACTGCCTTCTCTTTAAGTCCACGAAAAGAGAGGTACGTGACAATCTTGTGTACACATGACTTTCTTCTTCTATAGTGTGGCTGTCAACTGCCAAAATTAATATAAAAACACAATATAGCAAATTTGGACATTGTACGAAACACTTAGCAAAATGTCCCCATTTTGAATTTTGTCTTGCTGCCAGGTTCACTTTTGTCTAATTATCTTTAGGCATTACAATGTTAATTGACAGGAAGGGAACAGAGTGACTTTAGTATGGTATTGAGACGAAAATATGTTAGTCTTTGCAACGAGGGGCACAGAACCTGGACAAGTACTCAAGTTAAAGGATTGTGTACACTTACAGTATAAAGAGTACAATAGATCCGGTATAATAATTTGTAAGGTAAGGATTATTTTGTGAACATCTGCTTGTGTTTTGATGAAGGCCTTTTGATAAACGCTGAGCCAGCAAGTGACCAAGGACTAATTCATAAAGATTTTACTCTGCTTTTCGCTCTCGAGCACTCCAAACAGAACACATACTGAAACAACAATCGTAGTAATATATCAAAGTAAGCACTCAGTTGAGTTTTACGTCATCTCTTCATTTGTTTGTAAGTCCTTTGCTTCCATTAAGTGGTGCATCGTCTTCAAAGAAAAATCAGCTCTATTAACCCGTACATCACTAAGACTGAATGAAAAAAATGTGTCAATAACTGGTCCTTTCGTCCTTATTTTACCACTGTTGGCTAAATTAGTGATGGTACATCATTACCTCTCAATACAAACTTATTGACAAAAAATTAAGGAAACTTAATCAATATTTTCACTGCTGCACACTTTATTATAATCTTTGATTAACAGACAAGTCATGGTGCAGCATTTTACCCAACAGGAGACTGAAAGGCTTAGGAACCAGCCAGTTTGTGCTGTCAGCGATCATAAGTTGATTTTTCTTTCAGAAGCTCTCATTTTATCATGTTGCTTTATTTCTGTTATCTCTATCATTATTATCGTTAAGAACAAGATTTTCTTATGATTCACCAACTGCCAATTTGTGGCAAATATGATCCTGGCTTGTTTCGGAATTGAATGATTGTTAACTAGTCAATAGGCATCTGAAAGAGTAGGTTTTGCTGAGTAAAGTTCAGAAAAAGTCACTGCGTCATTTTTTCCAGGCGTTTTTCTTGGGGCTGCGCTGAAGTTTAGGGACGTCTACTGAGCTTGACATATGATGCTGTCAGCAGTAATGAATACGGACAGCCAACTGCCGTAATGCTGAGTTCCTCATCCAGACAGCAGTCAGTCATCACCATGAGACGGCAGCGTGACAACGGCGCCACGCCGAGAACCCCTTAGCTTCATTTAGATTGGTTTTGTTGTGCTTTGTTCTCTAGATCTGTCTCCAGAGTTTAATTAAAGGACATGTCGTTTCACCTTTTATTCCCGGACACAGCTTCCGCGTTTCCGTTTTAGGCATCATGTGGATCATTATTGAAATCGCTCATCTGCAAACATGACAGGGGGCATATGCAGAGTTAAACCCCTCATCTCTTCACATCCGTTCTTGACCTTTTTGGCAGATACCGTGTTTTAGAGTGTGGACGCTGATCGGATTTTCAACCGCTGAATTCAAATGAATTGTCTGGCAGAGAAAAACCTGAAGCCTCTGAGGCATGTGGTTCATAATTCAGCCTCACGTAGATGAAACACCAGGAATGTAATCCGGTTAGCAAGCAAAGCATTGTCCTGGCAGGTCTGTTGTAAAAAAAATTATAAAATGGATTTGTAAAATTTGATCATTAGGGCACCAGTGTGTTGCCTCGTCACCCAGCAATGGAGTCCACATTTTTCTCAGATTTTTCCTTGACAGCTCTAGTCCCTTGTGGGTGTCTTGATTTGAACATTTTCTTCTCTGTTTTGTGTTCTCGCAGACTGAGAGACGAGCCTGCTGCCCGGTCGCCACCATGATAGCCACGGGCGGCCTGCTGCGCATGAACAGGCGCCAGGACTCTCTCCGCTCCAAAAACCGAGCGGAGAACAAGCGCAAACGGAAATCGAAGAAAAAGAAAAAGAACGACGTGGTGGTGGTGAAGGGGAAGCTCAACTTCTGCTCGCCGGCCGGTTTGGTGGCCGCCGTCGGGGTCATGGTGCTCATGGTTGGGATCTCTATGGCCGTGTTGGGCTACTGGCCCAGTCAGAACCAGCAGGACTACCAGGAGCGCCGGCGGACGGGAGCCTTCCACGGCAGCAGGATGAGCTACTCCAGGAGCCCGCAGGCTTCAGCCAACTTGACCCACGAGAAGACGCCCTCCGGCCACGCCGGTGCGAACAACCAGAGCCATTCCAACAGCAGCGTCGCCGACCCCTCCCCGAACTGCGGCTTCCTCTGCGACTTCCTGGATAACTACCTGTACTCGGACAATCTGAAGGTCTTCGGGCCGCTGGTGATGGGAATCGGCATTTTTCTCTTCATCTGCGCCAACGCGGTCCTCCACGAGAACCGAGACAAGAAAACCAAAATCATCAACCTGAGGGACATCTACTCCACCGTGATAGATCTGCACAGCATCCGCTCCAAGGAGTACTCGCCCCTCAACGGCCTGGTCAACTACACCCAGTCCAGGAGTGCGGAGGGCCCGTCGGCTTCCTTCCCGGCCAGCGGGATGCACACCCGCAGCTCCTGGCCTTCCACGGGACTCAACTCGAAGGGGGAGTCCGACACTGACGAGGTGTTCCGGCGCGCGTCGTTGGCCGGCCGGCCGCGCAGCTGGTCCAGGGACGTCCAGACTTTTACGGACACTGTGTACAGCATCTACAAAGACTATAGCAATAGCAGCGAGCAGGCCCCCCAGCAGCCCCGGCAGTGGGAGACCACCTCCATCGTCACCTCCTCCGTGAATGCTTTCACCCTCCCCGTCATCAAACTCAACAACTGTGAGGTGGAGGAGTCCCAGCGGGCGGAGGGGCCCTCGCTGGAGGAGGTGGTCATTGAGGCCGCCGCGCAAAGCGCCGGCGACGAGGGACAGGCCGGCCGGAGCCACGCCGAAGAGACGTTTGGCAAGCAGGGGGAGGGCGAGGGGGAGGTGCAGGGGGAGGTGGAGGGGGAGGCGGCGGCCGTTGACTCCCCGCCTTCCCGCCGGAGCCCCGAGGACGTAAGCACAGAGACGGCTCATCAGCAGGGCGCGTCGCAGGCGCCACACTGGACCCAGCTGTCTCCCCCGGCGCCCGTCGCCACGGCGATGGGCTCCGACACGTCGCTCGGCTCGCCGCGGCTGGTGCGGCGCTGCAGCCTGTCCGTGTCCGGGGGCCGCCAGGGCGACAGGGCCAGGCGCTTCAGCTGCCCCCGTCTGGAGCGCTCCAACAGCAAGGGCTACATCAAACTGGCTGACCTGGGGGGCGAGTCCTTCGAGGCCCCCGACACGCTCTCGTCCTCGGCGGCCACGGAGCAGGAAGTAGCAGTGGACGTGGCGGGGACAGAAGAGCGAGCTCAGGGGGAGGACGCTCTGGTGACACCCAGCACCTCCGGAGAATCTTAGGCTTCTCCTTGTTAGCTAATGAGCCTATTCTAGTCCTTTGATGTCTTGTTCTTTGGTCCACATCCAAAATCCTCTAAGACTGGTAATCGGTAACCGGTCACTAGAGGACGGGAACCACAAAGAGTAAACAGTGAAGGACTATTGAAAAACACAGCCATGAACTCTCAAGAGCAGCACTCCATAGAAAATAAACCACATCCAGCGCTCGCTATTAAGATGGAATTTTTCTAATTTTTTTTTTCAAAGTAGCAAGAGCAATACTAAAGACTTGAAAGAAGTTTTAGTAAAGATTTATAAACAAAAAAACAAAAGGGGGGAAAAAATAGAGGAAAAGAAAATCTCGTGGGAAGAGTTTGAACTTTCTTTTGTAAAACAGTCGGCCAAACATGGTAGCTTGTAGAATAGCCTGAACTGTCACTCAGCTGTCATACTGTAGCATCAACACATGCCACAGAAAGCTAAACTAGTCTAGATAACTTTGTTCTGTGAAAAAAACACGTGAATAGGTGAACTGAACTGAATCTCAGGTAGACGTTTGGTTTAGGATTGGGACCTTGAGGACAAGGACTTCCGTTACGTGCACACTTTGTTTATATGAAACATACATGGCTGAATAAATCTGACTGTAACACCTCTGTCGGGTCCACCGAGTGTCCCCTGTGTCATCCTGGACTCAATGCAGTGAAACCTGGAACAGGTTGTTTGGTTTACACCCTTTGAAATCATGAAGTAAAACGTCAATAAAAAAGGTGAAAAACAGGAAAGAAAAAAACAGAAGTGGACTGTGAATGTTAATGCAGACTCTGCACTCCGGTGCCGGAGCAGTGGTTCTCATTACGGGGGGACCGGTATTGATGTCGCGCTATCGCACATCTTATTGAGCCGGAGCAACTCGACACTTTTCTTGTGGGGTTCAGCATTTAAAGAATGGTGCAGGGATGTACCTGCTGATGTAGCCGGGCCGTAAATTGATGGAATGAAAATGTCTTTGTAAACCGCTCGGCCAAGACGAGATCAGGGTTTTTTTTAATGCTTTGCAAAACACCGGGTGATGCCTGGAGTGTGAACGAGCGCGTTTGTTTGTGTTTGTCCGGGGGGCCGGAGACAAAATTCCAGCTGAAAGGCTTAGATTTTAAAGACAGCAGGTGGTGAAAATCGCTCTGAAAACCATCGTCGGCGACATCCACGACTGGAAACTGGAACACTGCAACAAAGAGTCAAATCAGGAATGGCGAGGGGTTCGGCTGGGCCTGAACCCAAGCCAATTCCAGAAGGTTTTCGGGTGAAGCAAAAACCTCCTATTGTCCCCCATTCTGATCAATAATCAAACAATTAACATTATGTCACTGAGGATGCATCTGTGCATGTGGGATGGATGAGTTGCATATCTGTGAACACACCGTTGTTACTGATGTAAGGTCATTTGGTCATGGATCTAACCAATAGGATATCAAATATTGATCGAGTCTCATTTTGAGCTGCTACTAAATTAAAATCCATTCATCTATCTACTGATATAATCTCATTTTCAAAATTGGATAATAATAATAATCATACAGAACCCCAGTCCAGTGCTGAAACACACAAAATAACGTGACTGTTTTGCGTTTAAAAACTCTAACCTGAAGTGGATCCAGTGGAGTTCAGTCTAACGTGGCCACCTAGTGGTCATGTGACTCAGAGACGATCACCGGACGCGCGCCTTGTGGCGCAGCCCGCCAGCAGGTGGCACTGGGTTTGTGCAGGCCGACGTTTTGAGATTTGGGCCGTTTAACAGACGCGAGGGGCGGGGTCGTGTGGCTCCGTCCCCGGGGCTGCTTTACCAGGGCGAGCTCTACAGGTGTCCGGTCCTTTGCACCGGGACTCCCACAACCGTCCGGTTACGCAGCTCGGTGACAGCTGGCGCTTTGGAGCAGTCTTTTCCCCTGAAACAAAACAACAAGAACAAACAAACAAACAAAATCAGGTAAAGTTTCCTACCGACCGTGTTGTTTCAGCTTTCGAATAAGCTGAAAAAAGGCGACGTTATTGCCCTCGGGGAGGGGTAAATTCCAGCGTTCGGCGCACGTTTGGCAGCCTTTAAATGTTTGTTTGCATCCTGCATTTTTTTTATCAACACGGCTGTGACACAACATATCCGCTCGGCAATGTGTTTAATTCCTGTTGTGTGTTTGTTTTTCGGTTGACGGCGGTGACCTGCTGCGCTCCCGGTGACGCGCGCTGTCAAACGGTGAGTACAACTCCAAGCGTTGATTCAGAAAAGCGGGTCATTTTTGGCAACGAGAGGTCACAGCTCCACACACACAGACACACACACACACACATATACGCGCACGAGAGTTTGGGACGTGTATGGTGCAGCCTCTTGTCTTAAAATGACACTAAACTTGTTTAAAACGACAAACTCCTCAGGCGTGCTTCAGTTACGCTCACATTGGGGAAATGAATGAGTCTGGCCAACACTTTAAATGCTTTAAACTGGTCAAATTGAACACTTTTCAGCTGTGGAAAAAGTTACTTCCACTTTTCTTTTTCTTTTTCTTTTCAGCGTCCCTTGCAGACTTATTCTCAAAACTGCTGAGAAAGCAAGTTGCATTCCTTAACACACACACTCACACACACTGATACAGTGACACTCCTCACACAGTTTTTTCATTATTTCTTAATAATAATTCTGGGCACAAGTACACAGTTCGGAAATGGGAAGTTATCACAGCGTGAGTTTCCGTTGGCATTCTCCTTTATCTAAATATAATTGCGAATAAGGAAGGGCTCTGTCTTTTAATATCCGTCCTCCTGGACTCTTAAAGTTCACACTCGGCCTCTGAAGGCCTTCCTGCTCCTGATGTCTGAATCGGAGACGTGTTTCACCCGTTAGATCCAGCTTGGGATGCTGGGTTTTATGGAGCCACGTGGCCGTTTCTCACAGTTAAGGCACTTTATTGGGGACACGTGGGTGAATGATGAAGATGATTGTTCAGGTGAATGCGTGGGGCCTGGGAGATAAAGAGGGGCAAAGTGCACGGGAGCCGTCACGCTCTGGGACCGGTGGCCAGGCCCACTGTCCCGCACATTTCTGCACATTTCTGCATATTTCTGCACATAGTGGCTGGACGTCACGTTTCAATCAGGCTCAGGTGTCTAGAGCAGGTCATCCATTCAGAGAGTTCACAGGCACGAGGCCTCATGCTTGCGGTGTTGTGACCGCATCGTCCTTTTTTCTACATACCTCAGTATTTACCTAGAAGTCGTGCAGTGATGTCAGATTGACAACGTTCATCGTCCCAGATAAGGGGGTGTCCCGGGCCATCGTTTGCTGTAAATGCATTTCCTGGGACAGGACGTTTTGTCCGAAGCGTGGAGTATTTTTCTAGTCCCGCACATGTGCGTACATGCAAGCAACCTCTGGACCTGATTCTTCGGACGCTGTCCGGAGTTGTTTTTGCAAAAGAAGCAGGTGACCAGAGCTGATTGGAGAGCTGCAAGCCAAGGCAGTGAATTTCCCAAAGCGTAGAATGTTTTACTTCTTGACATTTTAGTCCCTTCGGACAAAGCTAAACTCCAAAACTCCAGCCTTGTTGGATGGACAGTGACCAAACAATTGGTTGGGCGGCTTTGCTTGTCATTGGTGACTGAAGCGGGCCTTTCCCAGAGTCCCACACGCTCTAAACACAGAACAGAGATTTGGTTTCTGGGCCTATGCCATTCATATAAAACGTAAGAAAGTTGTCGTTCCTTGTCGTCTTCCCGTGCCACATATTGCCTCACATCATACCAAAGAGAAGCCTCCCAGTAAACCCAAAAGGGAAAGTTGCCATTACATACTCCAGTAAACATTTTTTTATATATGCCGTAAACCACTGGATACCAGAATGTGTAGCATGTGAACCTTGTGGGTGACTATGTTTCTTTTCAGTTTTTATTCCCATGTTGGTTTACTGCGACACAGGAAGGCTGTAATTACGGTCCAACAGCTGGGAAGTCCCAGGATCTGACTTGAAGCGTAATAAAAAAACATGCGTCCATGAGTTGTTCTGTATTAAACGTCTAAGACTCATCCATTAAAGATCACCTCTGAACCTCCTGAGCTCAGTCACCTCTGCCCAGGGCAGCAGAAACAGCATGTCTGTCTTTAGGTATTTCATTTCTGTGCCTTTTGACTGGAACATCAACGCTTCAAACAGGTTGAAATAACACCATAAAATCCCATTGCAGTGTCTCAAAAGGGAGAGTGGTTCACACGAGAGTGTTGAGGCTTCGCTTCATTGTTTTGACGTAACGTTCCCGGTGATAAAGGCCCGTCTCGTCGGACTATTTATCTTAGGAATGTACATCAATGCGAGACTGTCACTTCAGTTCATGATCAATAACGCTGGCATTGTGCTGCCGGAGAGGACCTTCTTTTTTCTCCGGTGCTGTGACTCTTAGCGCTGCGGGACCAAAAAAGAAAAAAACAGAATCCTGTGGAAGCGCCCTGTGTGTGTGTGACTCAGAGACGAGCGGCTAAAGGTTAAAAGGAACAGTTTGCTAATCGCCGACACTATCGAGATTTTCGTGATAAGCAATGCAAAGGTTGGAGGAGAGCTTTGTCTCCGTGCCCTCTTAGGGGTGTTCCACAGGGCTTACTACTGTACATGGTGCGCACAGCTTTCCCTCACAGAAATGTGCCGTTCTTTTCCGATTAGGAGGACACACCTACAGATCAATAGGTGTGCTTTTGAATGGCAGGAAACACATTTGCTGCTAATGCCGTGGAGAGGTTTCAGCCTACCAGATCCAATATTTTACTGGGTCGAAATCAAATGAGAGAAAAGGGTTTGTGTGCTTTGGATGTTATTATTCTGAGTGGAACATCTTTTTTAGATTGGGATGATTGAGAAAATAAAGAAAAATCTGTAACCCCGTTTACCTTTCTTGGGTTTTTTTTTCTAAACTAAAATAGAAACTGTAACTTGAATCTATTTGCCGCAGATTTCCTGCCTCTCCGTGTAGTTCACTGTCACTTGATGGGAACTGAACCCGACACGTGAGGGTCGGGCTGTTGTCTTCAGGGACTGGGAGAGATAACGTGTATGACTCAATCTTGTTGAGTGGGGCGATAAGCTTGTTGGAGGGATTGTTATCTCTCAGCGTTGGACCGTTTTGAAAGCGGTATGGGGCTCGCTCAGCCTTATAAAGCCCTGCTCTCCGCTGGAGATGCCATCTTGACTGACAGAGGGTATTTATGGTGGAGAAATTGGGTTAGTGTTTCCACTTCTCAAGAGGGATGTTAAGCAGGGATATTTGTTTACAGAAAGAAATCTCAGAGTATCGCCGACACCGAGCATGAAGCTGCAGTATTTTACACATTTTCTCGTCATTATTTATCCCAACATTATCAATCATTAAAGGTAGAGTTCAGGTAGAACCTAGCCCCGTCTAAAGCTGACAAATTTCTACCCTAATATGACATATCTCTAGCCTAAAATGGTACTAGGCAAATGATATTCCTCTTTTCCACTTTAATATAGGGCTAGAGTTTTGATGAGTTGCTGGTCCCTCGCTGTATTTAGTTGCAGGTCTGTGAAGGTACCTCTACTAGCTTGAGGATTTTGAAGATTTTAAGTTAAGCAACAACTGTGATTATGTTGATCCATCCCTCTGAGTCTCAGGATGAAGCGTGTCTCCCAAACTGCCCTTTTAACAAATACCGTGGTGACATTTGGTGTCAATTTACATAGTCTAAAACTATGTTTGTCACATAAATTGAAAAATAAAAGTTATTTTTCAGTCCCAGGTCGGACTCTGCTCAGCTGAAATACTGAGATTCATGTACAGATCAGAGGAAAGTGACTTCCTGCAGACTGTCGCGTTGCTTTTTATTTGCTATATCTTTTTTCCTCCTCCCATCACGTTTCATTTGTGTGCTTTTTTCCCCATTTACTTGAAATGTGTCCTCTGCAATCACATTAAGGGTCAAACCATCAAGGAACCATTTTCCAAAGGTTGGATTACACCAGGCTTTTATGATTCCTCTAGATAAGATGTGCCTATCTTTTTTTTCTTTCCTTTTTTTTTTTTTACAGCATAAAACAAAACAGGAGTGCCCCTCACCGTCTTAATTAGTTTTCATGTGAATCCGTGGCCCTCTGTGACCCTGGCTTTACATGAAAGGGGGGCCTACTCTGGAAAGCCTTCCTGATCGGAGGTGTGCTGTGATGAGTGTGTGCCAGAGGTCGGGGGTTGATTTGGGAGCCACGGCACAGTTTGGGAGCGCTAAAACCGGCCTCCGGACTGGCGTGTGTGCTTTCTGACCCTCGGGACTGGGGGTGTTTACGGCCGGGCAGAGCCGGCCAGCGGGGGGGGTAATAGCTTCTGCCGGTTAGGGGTGAAGTTCAAAGCCGAGCGCGAGGCGAATCGGTTTGATTTTGCGCGGTTCAGAGCGAGCGTAGTGCGTGCGGTAATGATGAGGTCTTGGATGTCGCTGAGGGATTGTGTTGCTGTGTTTCGGGCCCAGTTCCATCTACAGTAGTAATTATTTTTCTGCTGACCCCGAAGGATGGCAGGATACGCTGCCCTCGCCTGATTTCTCTCTTCTTTTTTTTTCCCCTCCCAAATCGAATCACATGGGTGATTTGCCAGGTATTGTAAGGGACATGCCTCAGTATAATTATGCCTTCCTGAGGTGCCAGCTGCCTTGTTCTGGCCACGGCGCTGGAAATTGGATTGCTCTAATGAGGTTCATAGGGTTTCACATGCTCGTAGACTCTGAGATTTGTTGTTTTTTTTCCCCGTTGAACTGTTGAGTTACCTTTTGGCGAATAGCCGTTACATGTGAATACACTTCATATATTCGATTAGTCCCCAATGTGTCAAAATGTAGGAACAGTGGTTAACCCCCTGCACAAGTGTAGACATACATGACTCCGTCCGATGTCGCTAAAACCCATTAGAGTCACTCCGGTTCTGAGGAAATGAGGGGTTTCTAGAGTTCAAGGTTAGGGTTGTCGGGAGCAGAAGAGCCGCACAGGAACTTGGTGTCTGTGCACAGCAGAAAAAAGTGAAGACTTAGCAGTCGCAGAAGCTGACGTAGAGTCCAGAGATCACATGCTGTCTTGTGTGATATTAATCATTCTGCTGACCAAGCTCTGTTCCTGAGGATAAGGCCAGTCGTAGATGTTTGCTCGCACTTATCTGCGAGCAAATACAGATGTGTCGTAGAAAGTTTGGGACTGGAAGTCTATCTTTTGGTTCATCTGTACAGCTAAAACTTCTGCTGTAAACACAAAACTTCAAGGATCGGGAATTGTTTTTGTCAGCAGATGACATCAATTAAGAGGAGCAATAAAAACTTGCTGAGAGGTGTATTCGAGACGATATGAATATGTTTAGAAATCAAATTAAAATCCCATTGGGACTTTTTGGAGTAGATCGACAATGTAGACAACAGCATCTCCAGTTGGCTTTTAATAATGCTTTACATTTACATACACGCAATAATCGCTTGTCAGAACAGTCTTATTGTAGATGTGGTTGATCCGATGTTCGTGTTTTTTAACTTCAGCATTCACGTTGCAGGCCAGATAGTTCCTCCTTCACATGTAGGTCCCATTTTCCATAATGAGTTCTCACAAAGACAGAAGGGACATTTAAACATGGCTATAATTAGATGGAAAATAAGCAGTGAACTTAAAGAGCCCCTTTTCAGTTTGCTATAGCTCCCCAAGGCGCACGCCAAGAGGTTCTTCCTTCCAGACGTCCTAAACTTTTGCTTTTGTGAGAGTTTTGCTATTTTTGCTCACGGTCTTGACAAGAAAAAAAAAAAAAGAAACACACGTTTTACTTTCTGTTTTTAACCTTTCACCAACTGTTACTTCAAGTCTTTTTAGCCTTGACTGACAGAGCTCAAGTAATGCCACCAAAGTCTTTTTAAAACGATCTTTAATGTTTAGGAGCAGAAGATTAGGCTTAAAAGCCAATGCCGTCTATAGCTATAGGAAACCTTAATGTCAGCGTTGCAACAGGGCCTCCCGAAATATCCTGGGAGTTACTTCTTACCCTCAAAGATGAAAAAGAGAAGAAGGAGGTGGGTGAATAGGGTCGAGTTCTCTGGATTTGATTAGCCGGGTGGTGTTTGGTAGCGTGTACATTTACTGAGACCGGGCATATCATTAAGACTGCCCCAACAAGCCAAACTCAGACGGATATTATGATCATTAATACACCGTTTTGTATCCGCAAAAGTTTTAAAGCCACAGTGAAAAAGTTGGCTGTTGTTTTTTTATGAAATTAGCGTTTTCTGGAGAGCAGCTAATGCATAACCCTTTATTTAATGCCAAAGTTGTTTACGGCGTAGTAGCCAGGCAGTCGCCTCCCAGTAGGCCAGACAGTGTCTGAGCCCATCAGCTGGGCCAGTGCAAGGCTGCACTCGACTCCTCCAGCTCTAAATCTAGATAACTATTGTTTGTCGGCCAAGGGGGAAAATACACATTGTTGTCACTCGCCGCTGCCGTGTCTTCTCAGAGAGCCTCGATGTGGCGAAATGTACAGAACAGCTTGTTTCAGGGCGCGTTGTCATCCCGGCTGTCTCTGTGATTTACAGACAAGAAAGGGAGGGGGAAGTAAAAGAGACCAGCAGAGCAGAACTGAAAGAGCGGGAGGCTTTACTGAAACCGTCACATGAAGCTGTAAAAAAAAAAAAAAAGACAAATCCTCAGACTTGAAATGGTTAATGGAGGCACGGCATTAGATCCCTTTGAATAAAGGCTCAAGGCCAAAAATGAAAGTCACTACTGGTGTTTGCTTTAAAAGCTGCCGTTCTATAGAACCCTATAGAATCCCTTCAGCTTCCAACATTTCTCACTCCATTCACTGTCAAAAATAGGGGCACAATAGGTGTACATCCACATTTCCTGAGGTTATTTCTCTACTTATGTAACCTACATATGTACGGAGGCCCTCAAAGGAACAGACGTTCTTAAGTAGTAGATGGACGAAATACAAACTGCCCCCCTGGTGGCAAGTAAAGGTGCAATTAGATCTCTCTTTTATGAACTCTCTTCTCTAAGAGTTTATTAAAAAAAACATTCTCCTTGCTATTAAGAGTTTGTTACAACCTGCAGCAGTTGCCGTGCATCCTTATATTTGCCCTCGGCTGTCTTTAAAGACTATATCACTTTCACTATTTCAGGAATTTGTCTGTCAGTGTTGCAGGAAAATGTCCAAAGCCTTGCTGTTCACCGCTGTGTGTTTTTTCATTTGCATAGTGTATGGAGCTTGAAAGCAGTTAGAAGAGGTGGAAGTCAAATGAGTGGCCGAGCCGAGAGGCAAGAGGCAAAACCCACAAATCCTCAGAGGGAGCAGCCCAGACTCTAATTAAAAACTAGCTTTTATGTTTGTGTTTCTGCACAGACACAAACATACGGGGAAGGCAGCAGCTGTGCCCCATGTGCTAGCCAGTGGCTCCTTTTTAATATAAGATGGATTATGTTTTTACCTTTTGGTAAATGTGTGATGAGGGGTCAGCACCATAGGCCCTGCTGGTTCATTTATCGTTCAGTTTCGTCTGATGCCACACGGGGTCCACATGAAAAACTAGAGACTTTTTTCCATTAACAAACTTCTTGTAATGATTTTTTTTTTCTAATTTGGAGCTTGAAAATTCAGACTTCAGGATTCAAATTGAGCCTGTTTTCTTTTTAATCAACAATTTAATCAACCAATTTTACTTGTATGTTTTCTACAAAAATTACAGATACTTACTTATTACTACTGGTTTAATGAGACCAAAATTAAATCTAACTCGAGTTTTAGAATTTTTAACTGTTTTCTAACTGCTCATCTTGGGACAGGTAAGTGGATGACCTGTCCCTTCTGTGAAACTAAGGCTCACAGAGCAGAACCACTCATCTAAGATACTTTGTAGTTATACTATATATATAATTAAAACAGTGTACCTATACTTGTTCATGACAGACTCTACTCTTGTGATGGTTATTTGACTAACAAATTCTCAGTATTGGCCACATTACTTTCCTCCTTAGATTGAAAATTAGTGACAGGTATTTGGCCAATGTTCTCCATTTAAAAACAGATGCTATGCAACACATGCTGAATAAGCTGAATGCTGAATGCATTCTTATGGGGATATGGGCATCTTATGGGCTTATGCATATGGAACATGGAGTCTATTTTAATTTGGGAATATATTGTCTGTGTTTGAATTTGGCTTTTTTGCAAAGTCATCAGGATTACAGCATGTTTACACGTTTTCCATAGAACAGACTGCACAAAACAGGCTCTGGGGGTGTCATAATGAGGAGATCATCGTATGGGACGACACATTTAGTCCAGATGTTTTAACGCATCTAACGACTCGACAAATGAGCCGTGTCGCATTCCAGCGCTGATTCGGTTTCGCTCGATCACATTTCCTTAAGTAGACCCGAGCTGTCCTTCGCCACCAAAAGCCCAGACCTCGTGCCATTAATTGCCCTTCTCCGCGCTCGTGGAGGCGGAGGGGAAGGGAGGGGAGACGGGAGGGGAGGGGGGGGGGGTGCCTCTCAGAGAATACCCCCGCTGTCCAGATATCCCACAATTCTGCTCTCAGCGGCACGCCGTGGCGTGATAGGCTGGCGGAGGGGGGAACTGCAGCAGGCTGAGCACCGCTGTCAGGAAACAGAAGCCCACCGCGAATGCGACTCGCTCAACCAGCTTAACGGGGGACGGCACGTCTGGTAATGAACCTCTTCATTTAGCTGCTTTTTTTTTTTGGTCGCGCGGGCTATTCTCGTTTACGGGGGTGGGGGGTCACGCTCACGCTCACTTCCCGGTTCGTACACTCCTTCGTGTTGTGGCTTTTTTGACTGTCAGGTACTGGTCGTGTGACCGGGGGCGGCCGCGGCCATTGACACATGAATAACAGAAAAATACTCCTTCACTGTATCCACTCTAGCGGTAAAAAAAGAAAAGAAAATGGGGGGTGGTGTGGGGGGGGAGTCCGGAGGACGTGGCTAGCCGTGTCAAAAACAGTGGTCGCGAGCCGCGTCGCGCGCTGTGGAGTCGTCCGGTTGCATTAAGGGTCTCTTTCGGGAAGTGAAACGCTTCCCTTTCTTAGTTAATTAGTCGCTGGAAGTCACGTTTTTTTTAGGTAACATTTGAAAATTACGACCCGGGCTGAAGTGAGGCAGGCTAACGTGGTCTAGTGGGAAAGCCGTAAGTGGAAAATAGCTGAGACAAAACGACCCAGATGCCCGTTCAAAGCGTCTGGGCACCAGAGCAGGACGGGCTGAGTCACGGTTTGCGTTTTGGGGACGGTTGCAGGAGCAAAAGCGAGACGTTGGGGCAGGTTAACACGGCAGACCTGGGTGTTTTTGATCTGCAGTGCGGTGGGCGTGGCCAGGGGCAGGATGACACGGTTATCCGCTTTTAGCATCCCTAACATCCCGGAGGCACAGCAGGCAGCGGCCGGGGTCTGACTTGACAATTTAATTAAGATGCACAGTAAGCCGCTGTTGCGGTAGCATTGAGCAGGAACATTGTGGGCCTTGTCTGCGAGATTTCACAGTTCACCCACTGATGGTGCACCTCTGGTCACAGCCTTAGTTTGCCTCAGTTAGTTGTTTGAATATGGTTTGAAAATCATCTTGTAAGGACACCTCTGAGGAAATGCCCTGAAATCATATGCTATCCAAAGATGCTTCATTTAGATGAGAGAGCACCCCAGGAGGAGATGAAACAGCTTTAAAAACTTGATGCTGGCTTATATAAATGGCAAATTCTCATATAATCCTTTCAAATAACAAACCATTATTATTTTAAGGAGCTTCCCTAATAATGAGGCAGAAACTTGATATAAAGCGTGGGTAAATGTGTTGATGACCAAACAATGCATCAGATATTTGAGTAAGTGAATTTGGATAAGGTAAACATTTAGATGATGTCATTTCATGCACACCAAGAGGCTGCAAGGCTTTAATAAGGATTGGATTACAGACTGCTTTGAGCTTTTATATGCACATTCATTTTAAGATTTTAAGCTTCATCCATGTTTTCTCTGATCAGGGTTTCTCAACACATCATCAGGCTATTTAAAGCAACATAAGATGTTTTTCTTTTTGGTTGTGTGTCGATGTTGCAGTTAAATTATTTACCCCGTTCTTTAAGGATTTAGGGAGAGGGTTGATGCTTTTAGCACCTGGCGATCAGTAAGTTGCTCTTTAAAGTGTTTCTCCCCATTCTCACCCCTATGAAAAACGTTGCATGCTTTGGTTGGCTCCACCATACCTGCTGTGCTGAGCACTCGGTCGCTCATCCTTGTTTGAACGTAAAGCAGATCACCTTTGTAGAGAACTTTGATTACAGTAAGGGCTGCAGTGACTCTGGTTGAATCCTGCATCCACATTCTCTCTTGAAGATGCTCCAATTTTGTTTCTTCCCACATGTTCAGCTTGAATGGCCTCACAGCTGGAGCAGCTGTTGTTGCAGATTTGTACAAATCCCTGAGAAAAATCTCTGAAATGCTACTGGGCAACCATCCCGTCGTTTTTCCTTCTCACTACAACAGCTCGCACTTTGTGGCCAGGTTGGGATAAAGCACCCCAAAGGTTTCCTGTGACCCCCCCCCCCCCCCATTATTCTCGCCAGCAGACATTACTAACAGTGAGGTCACTGTTCATTTACAGATTACTTGTGGCTAATCTGATGAAATGCCTTCTGGCCTATCTCGGCCTCTGTTTAAGAAGTTTATTAGCTCCTCATCAATACACAAAGGTTTAGTCCTAATCTTTTGCCTGTAGAGAGGCAGCACAACCTGGCTGCTGCCGTCTTCATCCTGACCGGCCCGTCGGTGTGATGTGCGGTTGGCTGTCTCAGAGGTTAACCGCGGCCTCAAACAGCCGCCCGCTCGCCGTGACGTGCGCTTCTGTTGGCCGAATCCTTGAACGCCTGGCCTGCGAAAGACAGTAATGTGAAAAATGTAAACGCAGCAAGGCAGGCTGAGAGGATTTATGGCCGCCTCAGCAAAAAGGATCTGTGCTAGGAGTCACCTTCTTGTTTACAGGCTGCCTTCCCCAGTTTGTGCCGTAGCGTCCCATCCGTCTGCAAAGAAGAGTGAACATGTGGACTGTGTGTGCAGCTTCTGGGATAGCTTCACGATTAGATCATCAGATGGCTGTTTGAGCAGCTGATGCTTTGAATGGTTTATGTCCAGCTGTGCAAAATGTGGTATTTATTTCCATTTTGTCACAAATTCAAAAAGCATCATATATCTCCAGTTTAGCCAACTCATTTCATCCATTTCTTTTTTTTCGCAGAGGGTTATTTTAGTGATGGTCTTGGGCTCTACGCTGGAACACGAGTGGCCTGTGCTGTGTTCACGCTCTGTTTGTTGAGCACTGTGGCAGGAGAATGCCTCGGCTCAGCCCACTGTGGTAGAAAACAGACCTGGGCTGTCTTAACGTATTGAATTCTCAAAGGAACGAGCCTAAACTGTGTCAGGCCATGACCTTGTCCTATAGCCCTCCCGGTCCTCTGGACGGCTTGCTGAGTCAGCCATTATTTTCTACTCACAAGCCTGAAATATCCAGAGACGGTAAAAAAATGTTCTTGAATCATTCAGCTGAAGACCCTGTGTTTTTTCCTCTGATCTGGAGTACAGTCGCATGCTCTGCCTCAGTGTTTCTTGTTTGAACTTTTTTCTCTCTTAGCCCTTCCGAGATGATGCTGGAGGGAATTTTTTTAGTCTTTAAACATTAAAGTATTTTGTGGGACCATATCGCATATTTATTTGTGTTTCTTGAGAGTGGTTTCATAAACTTTAACAAACTAGGATTAGAAAAATCTCTATATCCTCCATATAAAATGTACATTTGAAGTTGCTTTAATCTTCGGTTTGAGCTTCTCCAACAGGGGAGGGGGGCACATATTTGGTTGTTTGGGAGTCTGGACATTTAAAAAGGCTTTTGGGATCTGCAACCTTTCATGGAGGTGTCTCATTTGAGTGGCCAGACGGGTCAGTGGGTGTCCCATTACAGAGGCCGGGCAGCGTGCGACAGCTGGCCGCCCTGCAGCCGTGCTCGTCATAGATGGGAGGCCTGCTTGGGATGGGTCTGAGCGTGTCGAAAAAATGGCAGCCATCCCCATCTGTGTAAGCCCCCTCAGGAGGATGGGGGGGAGGAGAGATGGGCCCAGCTGTGATGCACTCTGGCTAATGGTACCCAGCACAGATGGCAGTCCCCTCGTCCACCTCTGCGTGTCTGCTGCTTTCCATCAGCGTGCGTTACAATCGCAAATGGACCTTAAAATGGAGGTTCACATGCTCTGGCTCCGCGTTTAGTGTCAGCGGCCAATTATGGAATGCAGGTTTGAACAGATAAGCCCCAGCTGCACTTACAGTGTGGACATGAATATCCACTGCAGGGGGATATCCAACCATCACATTTGATTGGCTGGTGTCGGCTGGTCAGTAGAAAGCAGCCGGCCGGGATCACTGGACTTAAAAGTTAATGCAGATTTGGTCCACAGGAGAAATTGTATACGGTGCTTCACTGATTAGCTTTCCTGACCAGGTGGGATGTTGACGGAGGAGGATAAATCTGTTTTCCATCAAGAGGTATTTGTGAGAGCATCTCATGCAGAGTCACAATAGCCTGGTTTAATCTCACATTCTTACGTCTAACAAGAGTTTAATGTTGCATTTCAGTTGGATAAAAAAAAACAGCGTGGGAGACTGGAGTCCAGCGCTGGCCGAGCTGTTTTCTAACTTTCAGTTGGATCGGTTAAGAGCGTTGGAGGGGAAAATGTGTGTGTTTTTTAAGACGTCATTGTGGCCATGATTGGAAGTAGAATTGGAAAACAGACTATTGGCTTTCTGAATGGATGTGTAAACTCAGCTCCGTTTCCATAGCTTTTGTTACCTTTTTGTGGTTAATTTTTAGTTTTTCTGTATGTCAGCAAGCATCATGTGGTCGACAGGTGCAGGCTCATTGATTTTGAGCAGACGCGTTGGGGCCCTCTTTCCATTGATACCCAGCCACAGCCAAAAAGCACAGATTTGTTAAACCGTGACAGGAAAAATTTGATCCAAGAAATTAACTCATTTCAAGCAGTAAAAAATAAATGGAAAAAAAATAAACCCTTATTTGGTTTGGAGGAACGTGATGTGAACAGAGTTTTTCTGGCTTCGCAGCCAGGAAAACGGGATTAGACATTTGAATTTTGGCTCTTTTATCCTGCAGTTATTTGTTAGGAGGTTGGCTCTGTGAGATTTGGTAAGGGATTCTGAAGGATTTTGGACTTGGTGAGTAGATTCAAAACTGGATTTCCTCTAATACTTTTGGAAGAACATACCAAACACAGCTCTGTAAGTCTGCAAGAGGTGTCGAGACCTGAGAGGATGAGTCTTGTTTTGTTTATCTCCAAACATGGCAGATGATTAGACTGAATGTACATTGTATGTAGCTGACTCGTATATATGCTGAAGAACAAGGCTGCATTAGCAGAATAGGCAGTTAATTAGCTGTAATCCATTAAAAGTGCTGTGAATACAGCTTTCTGAATGCATAATGTATGTACCAGTCCATGGTGAAGGCCGCACACAAGCCCACTGTTTTGGGCTGTTGTGTGGCCCTGCAAAGAGTGCCTGTCACCACTGACTGAACGTATTCTTCCTCAGTTTCTATGGTGCTAAGATGTCTCCCCCATCTATAGTTCCTTGTTAATAGGGTTCAAGACATGCAAAGGTTGGCTGTGCAGCCATCCTCTGTCCACACACGACACAACAAAGAGCAGAACCGAGGTTTGGACAGGATTTCTGCCCGACCGCAGCTTAGAGTTGTTTTCACAAATGCGTTTCTCCCCATGGAAAAAAAACTTGGAGTTGGAATTTGGATCTTGTGACTTCATTGATTCATTCACATTGATGCTACTCAAGCCTGTAATCTTTATAGCATTTTTTATAGCATCCGAGGCTGAGAAGAGTTTGATCAGCATGTTGCGTTCACTGACCCTTGGACCTTAAAGGGAACGCTCCCGACTCCTGAGTTCAGATTTATTGCTGCTTTGAGTCAGCAGCTAACAGCCTACTGTGTTAAAGTGGTTCTGTTTCTCAGCAAAGCTTGATTTGGCATCACGTCGTAGTCCTATTGTTCTGCCACCTGTATTCAAAGCTGCTGCCCATTAGCAGAGAGGAAGGATGCTCTGGCTACCCAACAGCTGTATCAGTCTGATTTAAAGCCAAGTGGAATTAGTCAAGATTTTTCCTGTCAGAATTTTTTCTTTTTAGGGTTTCTTGTAGAAACATGAAAAAAAAGGGCGAAAGGGCATAATCGAGTCATCGTTGATGATCTCCATATGTGTCAGCTGGACTTGTGAAGATCGATATTAATGTCCGATGTAGTTTATAAGTTGTTTTTTTTCTTTCTAAATCAAACTTTAAAAATTCTATTAAGATTTTTTTTCCATCCGAGAAAACCCCACTAGGTTCTTTTTTTTTTTTTTTGATGACCACGGCTGGAAGCTGGGGATCCTCCCACCCCGTGGTAAACACGTCACTATTAATAGAGCCGGAGAGAGAGGCCAGCAGCAGAATGGAATGCATACGTACTACAAACCCCAGCAGAAATCTAGTGCGCAGTCCTACCCACACACACACACACACACGCCCTCCTAACCACACATCCCAGTGTCTAAATTTGTGGGCACTCCTGCAGTGGGGGCCCCCCGAGTGAGGTCTGCCTTGTCTGTCATCTGGGTGGAAAGCAGCCAGTGGATGTTGTTTCTCTTTAGCCAGTTTTAGACCCTTTGGCCAGCATCTGTTGTGGGCGTGTTGCTATTCGCAGAAGGTCATGCTTATCGTGGTGCTGCGCGGATACTTTGGATTCTTGTGCGTAAATACTCTGCAGAGAAATGAAGAGGGGGAGCTCATGTTACTGTTATTATCATATCCAAATTATCTCTGTCTTCCTGTGGAGTAAATAGTTTCAGCGGTGAAACTATGGTCTCATCTAGGTTGAAATGATGTTCTTCAGTTTGACAGGCACCAGATAATTCCTTTGAGGAGTCCTTTTCCCATTCTGATGTTGAGATCAAAGATTAGACAAAGAAAAGATAACTAAAAACTGATGTAACAATACACTTAAACCACAAAGAAGTTCTTAACAGACTGACTAATTAGCTGACATTGCCTGTGGAAGAGGTGACTTCCACCAATACATCAGCTCTGTTAAATAGCGTAAAAACAATAAGGAAATCGCACTTTTTTATCTAGTTTTTAAACAGACGATCAAAATGATTCTGGCAGTTCTGACATTTGATCTTTACCATAATTATCTTCCATTATTTCAGCGTCATGTTGAAATCTCATGTGCTTCTCCAACTTCTGCAATAATCTTTCAGATTTTGGCCAAAATCAAGCATGCCTTATTCAGCACTGTGTCTGAGCAGTAGTAGAAGTGATAAGATTGGGTTTTATTGTGGGGAAATCTGCAGATTCACAGCAAAGGTGGAGAGTTTTTGACACCTTCATTTGATTAGTCACCTAAATTGAGCTATTAATTATTCATTTAACATTTTAGCCAATTAATCTGAACTGATTAGTGCTTTAATTAGCTGATTGTACATGTTTTCAATTAAATTGTGCCCTGTTTCTCCTGACATATAAAGGGTAGGAGTACAAATGCAAAAGGATCTGAGTAAATTAGTGAGTTCACAGAGAAATATAATCAGCTTTCTTTTTAATTGATCCACAGTAATTCTTCAAGCAAAATCTGAATTATCAGTTATTTTTCTTTTTTTTTTTACGATGGAACGTCAAAGACAGATCTTAAAATAAGGAAAGTAATCATTTGTAGAATCAGGGAATATCGCGAAATGCATAACTACTAAGTACTTTCAGTGTTGACTTCACTGCAGTCATTCAACAAATGGATTGAGGGAGCTCAGAGCCGCTTGCATTAGTTTTTATCGTGCTGTCAAACAATATCTTCATCCCTGCGTTTGCATCACAGAGGAGCTTATCACTGCACAGGCCTGAGAAGCAGCCCTACATCAGTTCATAACTGGTCAGCTGACTCATCCTGTTTTCTCCTTTACCCTCCCCTCTCCCCCACTCCAGTGGGATTTACCATGACAACTGAATCAGGCGCAGACTCAGAGGCCAAGCAGCCGCAGGAAAACAAGGAGGCGGAGAAGGGGAAAGCCAAAGCAGCAGCCGAACCCACCTCACCTCAGAACCAGCCGGAAAAGCTCCCAGCCGCTGCTGGACACAGCACCCCGGCCAGGAAACAACAGGTCAGCCTCTTCATAAGCTCCCCCCCCCCCCCACACCTGCTATCACTCCTCTGAGGGACGGAGAAGAGCATGTTGGACTCCTGAATTGTCTCCCACCAAAATGTTCCTCTGTACCTGAAACATGTCATTAAAGGGGGGAAAGTTATTGTTAGTCCGGCCGGAATCGTGTGTTTTCTCTGTGTATTTAAACATGTCAGCCTGGTTTTGGTCAGACTAGAATATAATCACTTCCATCTCTGCGTGCCGGCTCTGTCAACCGGCCGAGTCGAGCTGTAACCGGGGCCCGTAACCGCACGGACCCTTCTGATCCATCCAAGTGTGAGAGAACATTCCCCGCCATTATTCTCTGCCCTGAATGAATTGTCTTTGTGCGTAAAATGGAAATGAACACGGCTGGTGAAGAGTGGTGACGGCATGACCTCAGTGTCCCCCGCTGTTACAGCCCTCCATCACATCCCTTGTGTGTGGGGAAGCTTGTCTTTCAGGCGGCGGGTCTCTTTTTTTTTTTTGAGGCGAGGAGAAAAATGTCTAGAAGGGAGAAACATCTGGAAAATTATCACACCAAAGTTAAAGCTTTCTTAAAGCAGTGATCTTTGTTTTGAAGTGTAACGTGGCCCACAGCTCCTAGGCTTTACCTCTAAGGATGCCCGGGCTGCTCCTGGCCCTATCTGGACACTAAGTGCTTGTCAGCCACTCATTGATGCCCAGATTCAATTTCCAGTGCCTCCAAACAACAACAGCAGGACAGTGTCGGGCAGATTCCCGCTCATCCTTTAATTTACTGCACAGGAGGAAAACATTTTCACCAGCTGTAGTTCACAGATTGGCCTGTGTGCAGCTTTTTTCACTTGTTTCCTAACAGCAAAATTGTGTCCCCAAACCAACCAGGAACATTCCTCATGTGCACATCAGACAATCTGCCTGATGTCTGGCAGCTGAAGGCTGTAAGACGGCGTTACAGCAGGCATTAGCTCTCAGCTCTTATTAGATTTGCTTTTACATGACTTTGCAAGCATGTAGCTGATGGCACAAAACTGGTTCGTGTTCAGAATTTCAGATTTTCTGTCAGTCATCAGAAAACGTACTGAAGAATCAGATCAAAGTTTCCTCGGCTTGCTGACAGAAGCAGAGCCAGTTTTGAGGTGTTTTGCTGCCTAATGATTCCCCTCGTGTAAGACTAACTAGTTTGAGCAGGCTCACGGCCCAGATGAAGCAGCAGGATTTTTATCATTAAGCTGACAAATTGGGTGCAGAAATGGGATCATCGGTGTTCATGCGAATCATAATGAGAGAGCAGCAGAAGGCAGCATGAGTTTGAAAATGGATTCTTCAAGTCCCAAACATTTTGATATGGTAAAATAATGATTGAATAGACTTAATGATGGAATGTATGATTAATTTTATGTAAGATGCACATGGTGACCATGTTGTTTAGGGTTCAGCTGTCAATCGTTTAGCCAAAATTTTCAAGAAAGTGAGCTGTCTTTATTTCAGGTAGTCTTGAAATGTGGAATAATGAATACATTTCATCTACTACTTGACTGTGTAAGTGCTTATTTGAGCTTTAGCACCGTGCTTATCTTTGATTGGCTATTTCTGGAGTGTAAACTGGTGAAGGTAGTTTTACTATATCAACTGTTCCAGCAGGTTTCTGTCATGAGCTCTGTGTTTTTCCTGTTCGCTGTATGCTGGAGACACACCTGTTCACAGACCTCTGCCTCCAGCACCAACCCACTCATTGTTTTGCTTTAGGTTATCCTGGGAATGAGATTAATTTCTGACCACTAATACTCACATGGTCAATTGCATGGTTCCTGGCCCGTCGCTCTGCTCTAATAAAATCTTAACCTTTCTGGTAGTGGAGCTGCAGCCATAGGTCAACTCGCTTGTCGATGTCACCGTGCTGGCTGCTTCTCCTCTTTGCGTCCTAGCCCCCAGACACCCCGTCCCGGCCTTTATGGGTGAGCTCTGCTGTTGGCAGTGCTGTGTGAATTGGCAGAAACAAGACTGAGAAATCACAGCGCTGTCTCACAACAATGTCAAGTCTTTTTTTGTGAGACGCACGCTCAAATGTGAGACGCACGCTCATACGTGAGATCTTCACAGTTTTGTTCCATCTGCGGAGCTCCTTCTCGTTATCAAAGCACACGGCGCATCCACAGGCTTTTCTCCGAAATCCGAACCCCTTCATATCTAAATTACACATTCAATTTAACCACCATGCATTCTTATGTGGTTGGACCCGTCCTCTGCTGAGAGAAGTGAAGCTTTGTGGGAGCAATGCGATGGATATAACCTGAGGGGCGAGAAAAGAAACGATCGAGGGCGAAACCTTAAATCCACTTTGTGAATAAGGAGGAAAAATGTCTGAAACCCAGAGGCTTCTTTTTTTAGGAAAAATCAGTCAGTAAGGGCTTTGTTTTCAGCCAAGTGGAAAATTGGATTTTCTCTTTTTGAGACGAAGTGGCCGTACACCTCGAGCTCTTCTCTGTGGGACCCTATTACGTTAAGTCAGGATCCAAGTCGATACTCTCAGCTGTCAGAATGTGACAGACAAAGATGGCTACTTTATGCAACGGCAAGGGTAGGCGGGGACATTTTCTCCTGTCTTTGAACACATCGCCCAAAAGTGTTAATGTCTCAAACGGCATTGACGCTGCAGCAGCGCACAACTTTATGACAACACACACCAAGGTGTCATTACTAAGCTATTAGTGGCACCAAAGTTGACGCTTGTGCTCCTTCTGTTAGGAGCAGCAGGAAGAGGATCAGGCGTCCCACAGGTCGTCCACCAGTCGTCTGTCCAGGTCTCCTTTGAAAGGAGTCAAGAAGGTGAAGATCATGCAGTGTAAACTCACCCTGCTCGACGGCTCCGACTTCACACTCAACGTGGAGGTGAGTCGCCCAGGTTTGTCTCTACTCGAATTAACCGAATTATGCCGGTTCTTTTTGGCCTCCTAAATCGAGGAAGTTGATGTTCAACTAATTGTAAGTATCTAAGGCAACAACGTGAAGGTAATTTCTGGTCCCTGTCCTCGGTTTGGATTTTTAAATCCAGGCCCCCATTAAGTGCATTTTTAGCTAAAGAAAACTGGATTTTAAAGGAATTTTTCTATGTTCAAATATAAATATGTTTTTTGTTTAGGTGTTTCTTTTTGTTTGTTTTTTTGCATAATTTTGCAGAAACGCATAAATAGGCCTTTGAAAATGTGCCAAAAATGTTCACCCTGCCTGTTAGGGCTCTAAAGATGCTGTGTAGTTACTCTTTTACTGATGGTCTCAAACCATATTTTCTGGCAAAGCTTCTCTACGTGGTGTCAGATAAAAAAACATTTTAAATGTCCAGAGACCTGCTAAGAAATGAACCCCTCTTGACAAAAAAGAGCCAACCATCTGTGATAAATGAGGGCCTTTTTTTTCTTGTGTGGAAAAATACTAGAGAAAATACAGAATAAGTTTTTCACTTGGTTTGCTTGGTTTATTTTTAGTTTAAATTCAGTGCACTTGTTTTGTTTTTTAAATAGTTTTTCCAAAGCCGAGTGGAACAGTAAGAAACAAAACACCTTTTGGTTTGTTAGCTTTTGGAGTATGAAAACATATTTTTGCCCTCTGCCGGCCTTTTTGCTTGCTCATCATTAATCCAGCCTTAAATCAGACTCCTTCTATTGTTCAATATTTCAGCCTCACATGCTGAAACTAAGGACTAGGGTCTTTAGTTCAAATTTGAGGTAATTGAAACAATGTACGATTCCTAAAATGTTTTCATGCTGAACAGGAGAAGCAGACCCTTTTTCTGTAAATCTCCTCTAAGCAGATTCCTCCCCACCAGGGGTTTGGATCGAGGGATTAGTTGCCTGTACTGGTGGAGGAGAGGTAATGGGTTCTGACCGTGAAATCTGAGATTTTGTTGGCAGGAATCAGTATCAGATGTCCCACTGTGGCACTGGAAATATACTAACGAAGTGAAGGATCTGGAGATGCTGGGTTTAATGTCAGACTTTGTTGGTTCTGCTTTGTCGTTGTGCATAACTTTGCTCTGACAGACCCACATTTGCTCCTCTTGCACAATTCTGTAGGTGAAGTCCAAACAGAAAAGGATAAATATGCCATAACTGAGGGCCAACTTTACCAATCTGGTGACACATAAGAAAGCTCATTTATCATCTTGTTTTAGCATTATTTAATTAAACAAGTGAATATACTTCAGACTGGTTTGAAAAGGAAATCAATACATTTAGCAAGAAAAAGTGCCTTTTATGTTTTATGCGTTTTTAAAATGATCAGCTGCACTTTGGCAGGAGACAGAAACAATGTGGACGCAGCCCTTTCAGTACAGACGAATAAAGACGGTTCTGTTTGTCTCATAAAGACGATGATGATCTTCATAGATTGGTGTGATTATGTCACGAATCCTTTACTGTTATAGTAATGTAACAGTCATATACATTAACTTATGCCCCAAATGTTTAGTGCCACAATATTTTTCTTCTCCATACTACATTCTACTTGTCTTCTACATATTTGGAAGTGTGTGGTGAGGTGGGGAGCTTAAGCTGGCCACAGCTAAACGTCCCCTCTTCTGTTACACTGCAGCAAACAACAGTGTGTAGGACGAACATGATGATGATGATGCCTGCTGCGACCTGCAAACCTTTGCCCCATCTGCTCTGTCTGAGTTATGTACTTGGGACTGATGTGGACGCCTTTTAAGAGGCAGACGGTGTTAAGCGATCTCTCGTTCCAGCCAGCAGACGCGGTAAACCCGAAGAAAAGCTTTCATTCAAAATTATCTGCCGCCTCAATAAAAAGAAAAGCAACAAAACTGAGGTAATTAGTCACCTGCTCTGCGCAGGAGTTGTCATAGCAACCGATAAGGCTCAGTCAGGATCAGAAAGCATCCTCAGCGCTAAGCCTGCAACACAGGAGAGGACAGCTCCTCCTCCCAATCCCATCTGAAAAAAAAGTCCAGCATGTCGAGGTTGGGCATTTTTATCCCCCTGACCTTGTAGTTTTCCAGTTGAACTCTATTTCTTCCCATGGGAAAAATGTCTGCGCTAATCGTTTCCTATCATTTTCTGTGACACAGAGCTGCTGAACCTCCCCCAGCTTCACTTCACCGGGTGTTAGGTCTCAGCGGAGGGAGACAGAAAACCCACATCCCGCTATTTTCTGGGGAGTTGGTATTATCTAAAAGTCATAGAGCTTGGCTGTATATGCTAAACCTGCAGCTGGAGTAAATAATGGTGTGTTAAATGGTGAGAGCAGAAGAGATTAGCTGCTTTTCCTTTTAGTAGAAAAAAGTGTCCTTGGATTTTCTTCCCATTCTTTCTCTGTTTTACATCAGCACAAACTGAACTTTTGCTTGAGGCTTTTGCTTGGAAAGAACAAGATGATTTTGGACAGCAAAGAGTCTTGGAAGTACATTTCATCACATGCTGTTATCGTAACATGAGTGTTTGGAGGCATGAAGTAATGATTGTTTGTTGTTTTTGGTGATGTCAGCTCCATGTCCCGTCAACAAAACTGGACACCTTCAAACTCAGCATTACAGCTACTGTTGTTTACTCTCTAAATTTAGACAGTGATTGAGACTGATGCTCCTCCTCTGATCTAAGATCAGTTTACTTTCCAGCTTCCTGTTATTTTCCCTCTCCACAACAGCTCTATGTGAAGGCAGAGTGCACAAATACCTGATAAGCCAACTGCTTTTTTTTTTTTTTACCCTCGTCGCTGTGATCCCAGAAGTTTTGCGAATCACAGCCTCTTTCTATGCGTTTGTTTGTTTGCGTATGCTTGTCAGTGAAGGCAGCTTCAAATCACAGCCAGGCAGCAGTGGTCTGACACGACTGTGCTAATTCCGCCGGAGATGTTCTGCTCGGATTAACTGTGTCCCACCAACGGCTCTGCGGCAGCCTTTTAAACCCCGTTCGTCACATCGAGCAGTTTTCGGTCTGCCCGTTGACGCTCGTGCGACTGTGCAGCGTGTGTCGAATTGCTTCCTCGGGCTGCCAGTTACATTGTTACAGGTCTGCATTTCACAGCGTGTGTGCGGCGCTGATGTGACGGAGGCATACGGCGCGAGACAATCCGACTCCAGCAGATAGAGCGAGCTGTGGCCGGGCCTTTAGCCGATCCACAGACCAGGAGCTGGCTCGAGCCCCGCTCAAGCAGGAGGCATCTGTGGCAACTCGGGCCTTAAAATATCCCCCGTGAGCTGAGCCAAATAAGCCGGCTAAGTCCGGCCTCATCATGCTCCAGCTCGTGGCATCCAACACTCAGAAGTGCAAATCAGTTGGTGCAAATTACCCGCATAGCTGATGTTAGCCTCGAGCTCTGGAATTTCAAGGTGTATTTACACTAAAAGGCTTTATATAGAGGGAATCAATCACCAATGGCCCAGTCGGTCGATTGTGGCTCAAGAAGTCGTCCTTGCAGTAAACCCTCTGCTAGGCAGCCCTATAACACGCTCCATCGCCATGCTGGCATAGCAAGCGAAAATTTGATTTCATGCCATCGCTTTGCAAAAAAAAATTAGGTTTGAGCTCATTTTGATTCAATTATCTTAGGATGATTATGAGAGGAGAGAAGAGACAGAAGGGTGAGCGCAAACGCTGCAGGCTGCCAGAGAGCAGGCTGATTGGGCTCTGTTATTTTCTGTCAGTTGTCAGGATTTGAACATCCCTAACCTTACAAAATAAAGAAAAACAAGTTCTAAGATCTGGCAAAAAACAGAAAATATTTAGTTTTACTCAAGCTGAGACACTTAGTAGACAGGCCACCAAGTATACATTAGACATAGTTAATATCTTCTCCATTTGGTTTTCCCAAATTCTTAATTTGCCACAGACTGGATACAGGATGTATCCAACCTGTATTTGCCTTCTGGTCCTAACATCTGAAATACATAGGAACACAATCATTCTAGAGAGGACAGGTTGTTTGCTGAGTTCATTGTCCGCGAGGAGGATGTTCTCTAACCCTGCATCTCAGGTTGAAGTTTCTGGAATATCACTGGGGAGAATATGCACATGTTTAGTGTGTGTTTTATTTTCTCTCCGACAGAAACGAGCCAGGGGCCACGTGCTCTTTGATAAAGTGTGTGAGCACCTCAACCTGCTGGAGAAGGACTACTTTGGCATCACATACAGAGACGTAGAAAATCAGAAGGTAAACTAACAGGAGATTTGTTATATAACCTGCAGACAATCATTTCAATTTGTGTTATTTTCTTGCACAAAAGAAAAAACTGTTAAAGATGCATAGCTTCTGTTTTGAGTTATTTTTGGTTTATTTGCTTGCTTCTTTGTAATTGTCATACACATTGTTCAGAGGGATGCGTTATCTCATTTGTCTGTGCAGAATTGGTTGGACCCGTCCAAGGAGCTCAAGAAGCAAATCAGGAGTGAGCGCACCAATCTAATAAAAACATTTTTGTTTTGAATTTGGTCATATGATGTGAATGAAGGGTCAAAATCCTCACTTCAGTAACGTGACGTTCGGTCTCCTTCTCAGCTGGTCCCTGGAACTTTGCATTCAACGTGAAGTTTTACCCCCCAGACCCCTCACAGCTGACCGAAGACATCACAAGGTATGTTTACAGCTAAATGAAGACTTGTGTATTCACTTTTAGGAGATGCTTTTTTTCCTTCGTCTTTTTCAAAATGCAAAAAACATTTATTTTTTTATATATATATTTGATTATATGAATATAGGATAATGTGGGTTGAATTGGCATCCCCCAGAGTAGCCAAATAAACTTTAGATACTAGACATCTGAAGGCCTTTCTGTGTGTTTCTTTCCCCGTCTCGCAGGTACTACCTGTGCCTGCAGCTGAGGGATGACGTGGTGTCGGGTCGCCTGCCCTGCTCCTTCGCCACCCACTCGGTGCTGGGCTCCTACACCGTGCAGTCGGAGCTCGGAGACTACGACCCCGAGGAACTGGGCAGCGATTACGTCAGCGAGCTGCGCCTGGCGCCCAACCAGACCAAAGAGCTGGAGGAGAAGATCATGGAGCTCCACAAGACCTACAAGTTAGTGTTTGCATCGACAGTTTGTCTATAAAAAGAGCATTTCAGGGTAAAGAATGGAGCTTAAAGCATCCCTCCCATGGCAACGATGCACCTGTGAAGAACTGAAACCAAATGCTCTCAGCATGCTTTTAGCTTTTTTCTAATATGATCAAACTGCCAAACAGATTTTCTGCCTGCTTTGTGCCAAATATTGTCAGTAGTCTAATTGTAGTTATGGTTGAATTATGAACCCTTTGATACAATATTAAACAGAAGTTGAAAGGAATGTTTTAACTGTCTGCCACCACAACGTGTCCCAGCTGGTGAACGGGTTCCTCTGACTGAGCGACATCACAGAAAAACCCCCCTACACATGCTGCCGAACTCCAACATTTAAGTTGTTTTGTTTTTCCAGCTTTTCAAGCCTTCAATTAAACATCCAAAAGTCATTGAGTCTACCTTGGGGGCTGATTAAAAGCTGGAAACGATGTGTTCTGAAAGGCTGCTTGATTGCAGTCATTTCTCTTTTCACAGAAGTGGGTCCGGCTGGCATTCTTTTTGTCCGATTGTTCTTCCTGTATTTCAATGATCTGTGTGTAATTGGATGCGGTCTTTTCTTTTCCTGTGGGTGGACAGCACCAGCATTGGGCTCTCTTTAACGATCATGTCTTCTAAAAATGGATACAGTTATGGGATGCTGTGGAGCCTCAGCCCAAAGCATCAATAAAACCAACCATTTAACAACAGTCATGGGTTTAGATGTTAGTGGGAACCCTGTGTCAGGTGCATTTAAGAGAGGTGGGCAGGAATATTATGTCTTTGTAACACTGGTATATGTGATTTGTCTGATCAGGGGGATGACACCGGCCGAGGCAGAGATACACTTCCTGGAAAATGCCAAAAAGCTCTCCATGTATGGTGTGGACCTCCACCATGCTAAGGTAGCAGACCTAAGTCTTTTTTTTTAATCAGTTTTTCTTTTCTCTGTTACTTTTTACAAGGTTGCATGGCTACAGTTGAAGTCATCTTGTAGATTCAAAACAAATCAACCCAGGAGTGTTAAATCATCGTGGTTATTTCAGCACATGAAAAAAAAAAAAGGCATTTGCTGGAAAAAAAGTCGCAGAATTTGATACTACAGTCAGAACTCAGCCACTGAATCTGCCCTCAGAGGGACAAGCTTTCTGACAAACCTTTTAAATATCTTGTGTATATGCATTTGAAACTAATTTTTGTTATCTTCCTGAGGAACCGGGTGTCTCAGGTCTGAGACAGCACCTTCAGAGGTGCAAAAAGGTGGTTTAGCTTATTCCTGATTGATTTTTGCACCTTTTTTTTCTTAAATCGGTTCGCTCTCTCAAAATGCTTACATAATATTATGCGTAAATGTTACATAACAGAAGTTCAAAGGCAGGGATATGAAAACCAGAAATAACTAATGTACCCATTCTTCTTTGAGTGCAAACTTCCCATGTTGTTTTAATTACCATAAAATGTACGTATTGATCCACTATATGTCGAACATATTTCACTCATCCACTCAGTTGGGATGCTTCCCACCACAACTCCGCTGCTTCACAAACATCATGGCTGCCACAGTGATGCCTCCGTTGGACATGCCACCGCTGCTGCACTGGTTGTGTTGGTTGGGGCAGGGTAGAGCCCAGGTCTGGAGCCCAGCTTGACTTTTTTTACCGCCATCAAACGCTTCATCAGAAAAGAGACAGGAAAACAAAGCCAGGAAAAAGCATCATAAAAGAAAATTGCAGCCATCGCTCTTCCTGATATGAATCGGTTATCAAAAGTGCTTTGAAAGTCAAAATGGGTTTAGATGTGAGTGTCGGGGAGGATATTACCCTCACAGATGTAGATGGGGAAGGACGAGATGACAGAGATGAGGAAGCGGCTTTGATCAGCGCTCAGTGTTGTCTCTGTGAGTCATAGATTTGATGCGCAAGAAAAAACTGTACACATGAGAAGAGCCTCCTTCTTTTTTCTTCTCTCCTCTCTCATTAAATGCAAAGTTGGTAGGGAGTCTCTATGAATGCTTGGCTCCAGCTGAGGGAGAGGTAAGAGGCTGCTTTCCATGAGCTTACACTATCTGCGTGAGTGTGTGCTTTTTTTTTTTCCTACTTCTGCATGGTTACAAATACAGTCGTCACTTCCATCGTCCCGTTCATCTCTCGACTGCTTCTTTTTTCCCTCTCAAAGCGCCATCAGCCTCACCTGCTCATCTCATGCTTTGTGCGGTGAAGAGCATCGTTTGACCAAAGCTTCACTGTTGTTTTTATTTTCCGTTGTTCTGTTGTCAGGCAGTGCCCTGTCCAGTTTGAATTCAGCACCACCACAGCGTGCATAGAAAGTGTTAGAGTACCACATGCCTGATTCCACTCTCTGCCTGCCAGCCCAACCCTGTTATTATCACCATCCTTTTCTTCATCCTGCTGTGCACCGACGCCTGAACACTTCCTGTACACCCAGCAGAGTTTAGAAAGGTTTTTCTACTTTCCTGACCGAGAGAAAAAAGAGGAACCGCGCGGTGGTCGGTAAACGGTCAGAAGCTGTCAGGAAACCATCTCCTAAGCTGACGTTGCTCTGCTGGGCTCTTGGTGTGTGTTGTTCCCAGGACTCTGAAGGTGTGGAGATCATGCTGGGAGTTTGCGCCAGTGGCCTCCTTATCTACCGAGACAGGTTGAGGATCAACAGATTTGCTTGGCCGAAAATCCTGAAAATCTCCTACAAGAGGAACAACTTTTATATAAAAATCCGCCCAGGCGAGGTACGTCTGTTAGTGGGGATTGAGAATACTGACTTTATGTCTCATGTTCAAAGTAGATATTAGTTATATAAGTCCTTTTTTTATCTTTTTTTTTTTTTAGATTTGAGGACTATATTATCTTATTCGTTAAAGCACATTTGATCTGTAAAAAGTATCTTATTTTACCTCTAAACACAGATTGAAAACAATCTTGATGACTTTCACACTTCCAAAAGCATCCAAAATCACAGTAGTTTCAATAAAGGTTTTAATTGGAAAACAGGAAGTAAAACATGGCAAGGGAAGATCTGCCAAGCAAAGACAAACCTTCTAATGTTTTCTGAGAGATTACTGTAAAGCTGCTGTACCCCATCATGTTTGGCTTCTGGATTTCTGGATTTGCTCTGAGAGTACGAATACTAACCTGAGCCCTTGAATTTGGAGATTAATTCACGATTAATTCACGTGGAGATCGAAGATTTAAGTAATGAGGAATATATTGATGTTTCTATTTATAGAAAACCTGAAGAAGCTTCTTAATTAATCGGGACTCTGATCACAGCCTTTTGTCCGTTTTGCAGTTTGAGCAGTTTGAAAGCACAATTGGTTTCAAACTTCCAAACCATCGTGCTGCCAAACGGCTCTGGAAGGTCTGCGTGGAGCACCACACCTTCTTCAGGTAAGCAGGGAGACCTCATGTTTGGCTAATGGCACCTCAGTATGTCTGTGCAGTTGTCATACTTCTGTGGGTAACATACAGCTGAGGCCGGTAGGTGCTGGAACATTGGCTGCTTTAAGCAGAACAACAAAAAAAAGGGCCTCACTGGCTGTTTTGAGTAGTAAGCCCATCCCGAGGGCTCCCCGGAGACGATTCAAATGACTTTTATCGCTTTTCAGCGTGCAGCTCACAGCGGTTTGCTCCTACCTGGTTTGATTAATGGGCACGTTTGTAACTTGTCACAGGCTCGTGTCTCCTGAGGCCCCCCCGAAGAAGTTCCTGAGCCTCGGCTCCAAGTTCCGCTACAGCGGCAGGACGCAGGCGCAGACTCGCAGGGCCAGCTCCCAGATCATCCGGCCGGCCCCGTTATTCGAACGCTCCTCCAGCAAACGCTACAACATGTCGCGCAGCTTAGATGGAGGTGAGGAGCAGCTCTCTGTCCAGCAGCCAGACCCCTTTTCTCTATTTTTATTTTTCACCACAAGGTTGTTACGGGGCCATTTTGAATCAAATTTTTCATTTCATACTTGTCTAAATACGTCCGCAGCTTTTGATGAGAACCTTTGTTAAAATGCAAATGTACTCTTTTGTTCATTCTTTTTTTTGTATTTCCTCCTGAAAGCTGGCAAAGCTTTGAGCGGGGCCTGTGTCAAAGCCTCAACGGGCATCATAACGGCCACAAGCAGAAATAAATCAAACCTTTTATGCAACTGCTCGCATTTTTTTCCCCACAAAGTCCAGAACAATTGGTCTGCACGCATAAAATGTCCCCAATCAAAAGCTGCCGCTTCTGTGTCTGTCCTCTGCCGCTTCAGCTCCCATTATGGAGAACCACGAGAGTCCAGCCAAGGACAGCGACGCTGACGGGGCAGCCAAAGTCATCGCCAAGGGAGACATCATCACCACGGTAACAACAGAGAAGAAGGCAGAGGAAGAGAAGGCGGAGCAGGATGATGTTCAGACCCCAGAGCCAGCTGCCACAACGCCGCTCAGACAAGACACAAAGGTAACCCTCCAGGTGGCCAGTTCACATGTACGACACCCCAGTAGAGGGTCGGTGCCGCTTTAGTTTTGTCAGATAAAGATGCTATGATTTCTTTTGGAGCCTTTTTTTTCTTTTTCGTATTGATTTTCATTTCTTTTCTTGGTAACTTCTTAATGGCTGAAGTGAAATTCCCGGTTGCTTTCAGCTTAACTCACTGCTGATGTCGAGGCCAGAGTGCTCCTCATCCTGTGCGCTTTACTAATTAGCTTTTCTTTTCTTGTCCTTCCTTTAACCCCACACTGTACCTGTGTGTGCTCATGCGTATTAACCCCCTTCCCCTTCACTTCTCTCCATTTGCACACACACGTCATCTCTTTGTTGATATTCCCCCCCACCATCAGCACTCCCCTCGTCCATACTCAACCGACCCCCTCCGCTCTGAGCTCTCGCTCCCCTCGACTCCCGTCTCATCCACCAAAGTGAGGCGGAGGCGCAGGGAGAGCGCTCGTAAGCGGGCCTCATCGGTCAGCCCGGCCAAGAGCAGCACCGGGTGCCGGCGCCGGCAGGCCCGCGCCGACCGCAAAGCCGCCCTGCTGGAGGAGCAGGCGCTGCTGCTCTCGGCCCGCAAGCAGAGGCTGGAGCAGGGCAAGGGCCGCGGCGGCACGCTCTTCTCCTTCTCCCTGCACCTGCCCGACCTGTCCGCCATCCTGGACGAGGACGGCTACCTCACCTTCCCCGATCTCTCCGAGATGCGCTTCCTCCCCGAGTGCGCTCAGAACTTCCTCCCCATCAAGTCACCCTCGCTCATCCCCTGCTTCCTCTTCATCTTCTTTTTCCTGCTCTCCACCTCCTTCTCCGTCCCCTACGCCCTCACCCTCTCCTTCCCACTGGCACTGTGCCTCTGCTACCTGGAGCCTAAGGCAGCCTCCCTGACCGCCTCCATAGCCCAGGGCTACCTTGACCATGACAGTTCAGAGGAAGAGGAGGTGTGTGTGTGCGGACGCCTGTATGTTAACCCGCCTCTGGCGTAGAATGACAGTCCATTATCCCAGTTAACACCTGTCCTGTAACTGTTTCGCCAGTCCAGAGCCGACCTGGAGACTGTGTGTGTCCCAGTGTCTGTCAGTCTCCTACTTTCAGAACCTCATCTCTGCCCGGTCACGCTCATCCTGTAGAGTACATCTTCATCACCACATCGTCCACAGAGATGAACCTGCAAGTCTCATTTCACAATGGATTGGCAACTTCATGCTAATGAGAGGGTTAGACACAAATACAGTATCAGTGGGCTATTTTGACTCTTACTGGGCGGCAGATTGGATTTCTTTGCTTTGTTAGTGACAATTTACCATCAAGAATGAGCAGAAAATAGAGATTTGGGGATTGAAAAAAGACACCAAACTTCATCCAGTCACTAATCCTTCACCAGTTGCATGGCTTTGTGCATATCCATCTCAGTAGTATCATCCACAGCAGCAGTCAGGTGTTTGGCCACACCCACCCACCTTGTCCACACCCCTGTCTACTGCTGTGCACTCAGGGCTTTACAGCTAAGAAAACAAACCATGTATCCATGCTGTCAGTCTCTCTGCATTGTCATTTGACTGAAGAAAAAACAAATTAATCCTTCAGATCACATTCCCACTGAGCAGGGATTTTAATATTCCGCAGGGAAGTATCTGGAAGTAGCTTCAAGACACGAGTCACGCAAGGCGATGCAGAGAGGCTGTGGCAGCTGAACGAGTCCAGATCATTCCCTGTGTTCACCTGCATGCAGAGGAGGGGGAGGGCCTGAAAGTCAGGTTACTGTTAAGCCACAGCTGTTAACGTCCAACTTTTTTGAAATGATGTCTGTACCGCTAAGGACCCTCATAGCTCTGTTTACACCTGCAAGTGGCGGCTTTTCCAAATCCAACACAAATTTGATATCAGCATTTTTCAAGTGGCCGACTGATGGTTTCAACTTCCTCTGAGTCTGTTTTGCTTTCTTGTTTTCCATTTGCTTTTTACCCTTTTGTTCCTCCTTAAAACCTTATTTGTAATGTCGTCTTACAACGTAAAGCTTACAGCCCCAGCGATCAGAGCATTCTCCATTTCGTTCCATTTGTGGTAAAGAAGAATATCTGTTGACGATAAATGCAATTTTTGGATATTTACAAGTTGGGTCCTTCTTGTTTTTCTTGCTTGCCACTGGGTTTGATCTGCACATGCAGACTGACAGCGAACATACTGACTTTGCCTTTGATGGGGAAATGACAGCCACTGAGGTTTGTACTCTGAGGAAAGGTGTCTTTTATTCCAAGCAGAAGGAAAACGCTGCAGAATTTTCACTGCACTTCTGCTATTCTGCATGATTTGCATGTAATCAACAATGTTCTGTACATATAATTTCTGTTTTTGGTTAAATTTTTCCCCCCCTTCTTAGTATGACTGTAATCTAAGCCCTATTCTTTATTTGTCGCAATAATGTGGGCGTTCATTGTAGCCTTCAGTGGAAATGATTTAAAAAAAAGAATGCACCAGCCTCTGGGAAGACAACAATAGCACAAGCTTTAAAGCTTTTTAATAGAAACTGTAACAAAATGTAGGCGCTTGTATCAGGCCCTCAGTGCTGGAGCGGGTGAGCCTGTAGCCGTGCATGCTGTTTGTTTTTCTCTGCTTTTAAGAGCAGACTGAACTTTTCGGTTTGACTTCCTCTTCTGCTTTTGGAAAATGAAGTGAACAGGCATCCAGCTGAATGCTTTACGAGCATTCAGGTCCTAGTAGAGGAGAGGATGAGCAGATGGACAGGTTCTGTGTTTTTTTCCTTTTCTCTTTTCATTTCTGCTGCTTGCTGGACACTTTCTGTTCCCCTGATTTTTCCGTCTGCACCTCTTCTCTTTAACGACTCCTCACCTTGTCTAACTCTCTCTGTGCTCTGCTCTTTACTGGCCGTCAGTCGGAAGCAGATGAGGACTCTGAGACGCGGACTCAGGTACGCTGGGCCGGCGTCTTGGCCCCGCTCAGTGCATCTCCCCACCGTCAGACGCACTGCCCAATCAGCCATCAGTCACTCTGTGCCTTTCTCCCGCCTGTGCTTGCCCGCCGTTAGCTCTCTGTCGCACTACACACCGGCTGATCACTCAGATCTCAAGTGTTTTTCATTTAAAAACAGGGCAATCCTACAGCTTTGTTTCTTTCACTATGAGTAAGATGTTTTCCTACCATCCTGCCATTGTCATTTTCAGCCATACGTTTGAAGACAAAGCTCCCATCTTCTCCTGAGAGTTGGATTTAATCGCTGGATGTCACAGCACCTAATTAACTTTTAAAGCTCATCTCCCTTTTTTTTTGTCTCTGCAGTATAGTTTCATAAGACGAATCAAAGGGGAAAATGTTTTTATCAGACATAGTAATCTGATGCTAGAGGTTGGTAAGCAAAGAGTGCATGACTGAAAATTGCATGCAGGTGCGTTTGGTATGAAGACTCCTAACAGTTAATGAGACTAAATATTATTTGCGTCTGATGCAACGGGATCTTTTTTTTAAAATTAGTTTTGTTTGTTTTTGCAGTGGCCTTTTAAACAAGTTGTACCACAAATATAACAGAAATTACTCAGAAGTGCATTTGTCAACTTCTAATGAGATGTGGGAGTGTTGTGCTTAACTAAACTGGTTAAACCCGATCTGCAAATCAGCGCATGAAACCATTTCTTTTCATTTTCTTTTCGGCTGGTCTTGAATGTTCATTGTGCATTTAAGTCATCGGCTGTCATGTGGTTGGACAGTTTTCAGTTGTTTTGCCGTTTTTGCCGGTTGCGGTGCGGACTCTGAACATTGAATGTGAAGAGCAAGGAAGCACAGGATGCAGCTGACTTTGGCCTGCAGACCTTTAAAGAGATGCATCCTTGCTGCTCAACATGCTTTATTTATTTATCTATTTTTGGTTACTCATTGGATTTGCAAGCTACCCTCGCATTCGTGAAAGCATGGTTGTTGCCCCCCCCCCCCCCCCTCCGTGCCGCCCCCGCCCTGACCTCCCTGTGTCACGGTCCATCTGGCTCCCGTAGGACACAGAGCCGCCGTCCGAGGTGCTCAAACACCAGACAAACATCAGCGAACTGAAGCGTTCCTTCCTGGAAACGGGTGGCGGCAGTTTGCCAGGTCTAACAGAGTGGGAGAAGAGACTCTCCTCGTCCCCTCTGCGTTCGCCCAGGTTGGATGAAGCCCCAATGATTGAGCCGCTGGAGCCGCAGGACGTAAGCTCCAGTCCACCGCTGACTGAGTGACGGCATGTGTGTGTGAAGCAGTGGGCAAGCTCAGGGAAATGCTGACAAAAGCAAACGGCGTAGGGACAAATCAGATAAAAACCTAATGTCATAGATATACTCAGACATCCTTTGAAGTGCCAATCGAGTAGTAGAACATTTTTGTTTTTAGTCAGTCTGTGGATAGTACAGCTCCTAAATAACTGATTTTAAGTATTTTTATTCATCTAATTCCCTGCTGATTAGCATATGGCATGGAAATACTGCATGGGCAGTTTCAGGTCTGTCCAGGTTCAGGTCCAGATTGTGGCTTTCTTTCCTGTTTTTTGCTCAGTGGTATGCTTCAAATCGTTGTTTACATGTTAACATCTACCCCAGCCTGAGATCACAAGCAGCCTGGAAAAGGCTCTCAGGGTTGTTCCATATGTTTGACGACTATTTGGTCTCCCTGCCCCTTTCCCACAAAATAATGCACCCACATCCCTGACTTTTGACTTTATAAGGTGATGCTCGAGAGACAGGAGGATTTGTCCTTTCTTATGGTCGAGTAAGATTTAGGTGCCATTCGTCAGCCCATAAATTCATCTTGGTTGGTGTGGAACATCGGTAATTGCATTTCTCTTCAGAAGATATCCTGAACACATTTCTGGCGACTTGTTGGAAATGTTTTGCGTTCTCCGGACTTTTTGCTTTGATTTAATGTGGAATTAATCCATCAAAACCGCCTGCTAAACTAAATCGCTGCCCTGAGGGACATGTGGGAGCTTCGGATCGGTCTAAAATGGCCACATTAGCACCTCGAATGGCTTCTGCACACATTAAAGGAGCAAACAGGGTCCTTGTTAGAGGCAGCTGATTTGTAAATTCGCTCTGAGTTAGTGCAGAAATAAGGTTTAAAGCATGTTTAATCCTATTGAGTGTGTGCCACTACTATCATGTGCAGGCATCATATTTTACCTGATTACGATCTGGGTTTTTGGCAATGGATGCGATAGTAATAAGTTCAAACATTGTCCCTTTGCCTTGCGATGTATTAAACAATCTGTAGGACTTACGACCAGCACTGACAAAATCCAATGAAAAGGCTCCTCCGATATCAGATGTCTTGACTACAACTACGGGCAGCTTTCTCTCTGGAGCACCTTTAGGGATCAGAACGCGTCGATTTTCACATTCATTTGCATCACGGCACCTTTTATCCTTATTTTCAGATCGAAGGTGAGCAGCCAGCTGGAGAGCAGACGAAAGAGGAGGTCGGGCCTAAAGATGCTGAGGTAAGATGGCTCCCCAGGTGTCAAACTGTTTGAGACGTTGCCCTGATTCACGTCAGTGCACCATCAGCAGGCCTGTGCAGTTTAACAATGTTTTAAATTAATCTGGGTTGTAAAAGCATGTTCAACCTGTAGGACAGCGGCTCTCAAGAAACCTTTAGTGTATGGTTGCTTTTGGCCTCTATTACTCTGTGTTTGGGGCTCTTAGTCTGTTGGTGCTGGTGAACTTTTTTTTTTTTTTTTAATAAAGTTTCTGCCTTTTGGTGGTTGATTTAAACTTTTCCCAGCTATCCAAAGTCGAAGTTATTTTTCCTCAGATGTATTGATCTTTTAGAGATAATCTACTTTTGCACAGAAAACAGGATGAGACTCGAAGCAACAGCTTGAAACTCGATGCATGTCGAGGTCATCCTGTGAGTGTGTGTTATTTCTGGATGAGTAGTGACTCAGTAGAGCCTATTTCCAGCATGTATTGGTTGTGTGATGCCCTCTGTCCATTAACTTGATCGATCCCTCTCCAATAAGTCGAGTGTCTCCTCAGGCTGCTCCCCAGGTTGCAGGATATCTGGTGAAATACGTGGCGGACAGTATCATGACCGATGGGGCCACCTCCTCTGGGCCTCACGGGATTAGTTTGTCCACCACAATGGACGACGACGTCTTTCTGGATGGCACCCTGAGGGAGGAGGTGGTGGAAGAGAAAACCCCGGACTCCCAGGAGGAGGTGTCGGAGAGGTCGGTGGTGAAGATCAGCCCCGGAGCTGTGAGGCAGGAAGTGTCCCAGGCTATCAGTGACAAGAAAGGCACGCTCATTATCTTGAAGGAGGCAGAAGAAAAAGATGATGCTGAAGTCAAAGAGACGAGTGCTTTGATGGTGAAAGAGGAGCTTGTCGTTCTGGGAGAGCTGGAAACGGAAATTCTGTCCGCTTCCAAAGAGACAGAAACTCTAAAGGAAGTCCTTTCCGTTGCTGTAGAAGGCCAGCCTGCAGCAGTCAAGCACCGGAGTCCAAATTTGGAAATAAAAACTGATGACATGACTCATATTAAAGGTATTGACTCTCCTAAGAAGGCAATGGCATCGTGGATTTCAGAGGAAGTGAAGACGGAGGCTTCTGAGGGCACCGGTGTGTCTGTTGAGGAAGTAGAGGAGACGGAGAGCCCCGACGGGCCGCCGCAGAAGGCAGAAGTCTTCACCTTTGAAGAAGTCCAGTCTGAGGAGCCCAAAGCCATTCTGACTCAGATTACAGTGTCTGAATCTTCAGCTGCATCCTTAGCAGTGGTACTGTATGACAGCTAAAAGCAGCAGATCGGTTTTGGCTCCCACCCTTCATACCCCCCCCCCCCAACCCCCCACCTGCTCCCATCGCCTCCCCCTCAGCAGCAGCAGCCAAACCAGTCTAACAGCGGCGTAACCGAAACCTGTGCATGGCTAACAGTCCCTTAATAACAGAGTGTCCTTCTTTTGCAATCCAGCCCGCAGCTTCTCACTTGATGCAAACTGTTTTTGGGTCTTCTGCCCTGTTTGTTTACAGCTGACTCCACCCTCCGATAAGGGAAGAAATGGGAGCCGTTTCGCTACGCCATTTCTTCCTTTCATTTTTTCTTATCAGTTCCCTGAAAGTGGTGGCTTCATAGCCTTGGCTGGCTGCCACCGCTGCAGCTTTTCCCACCTCATCTCCCAAAATCCCCTCACCCTCAGAGACCAGTCAGAAATCAAATTGTATGGATCTACCGGGGGAGAAAGCTTTCTCCGTTTCAAAAACAGCTGGGCTAAAAATTGCTCTATTTAGGTTCTCAGACCCTAAAGCTGCACTTTCATTGGCACATAATTTTGAGAAATTAACATTTTGGTATTCCATACAATCATGACTTTTCAAACCCTTTATTTTTCACCTCTTGTCATATTTTCTTTTACTGTTCAATGTGACTTTGACTGTCCTTTCTGTACCTTTTTCTCTGTTCTGGCATCCATCCACTCTTCTGTCCACTCAGTCTACCCTGGGACTGGTCTCCTCCTTTCAAAAGGTGACCACACCTCTTTGTTCCTTCTTAAGTTCTGTCTTCCTTTGTGTTTTCTGTCAGGATGTCCGCTGTGAAAAATCTGAAAACCTAACCCACTTGACAGATTTTTCCTGTTAGGTGTGATGTTAGACTGCGTCCTTATGTTTGGATTTGTTTCATCCGAGCTGTAAAACAACATCATCTAATAGTGCCGTTTTTACTCGCAGGCATCGGCCGATCAGGAGGAGAAGGCAGCGGTTGCCACGGAAACAGAAGCGGCGCCAGCCAAATCGTCAGGGCCAACGGTGAATATCCAGACAGCAGAGGCCACACAGACCCAGCTGACAGCGTCGGCAGATCCACCCATAGAAAAATCAATTAATGGTCCTGAACCATGTGTAGAGCAGGTGGGGCAATGTCCATTTGAGTAGAATTACAGTTAAAATGAAAGAAATCGGTAATCGAAGAAGGTGTATTGAAGAGCTCCAAAAAAGAAAGCAGATTTACGTGCGAGTTAAGAGGAATGAAGTGAAGTAGATGTGCTGCCCACACTGTAAGAAATGGAGTAATGTTCTCCTGCCAGCACTCAGAGGATGAAGACACAAAGAACATCCCTCAGATTTCAACTTGTTTGCCCTTTAAGACAGAAGTCCGGTCAAATTCAGATCAAAATTAAAAGGTTAAAAAGAGAAGGCAGTGGATGAATCGTATGATTCAGATGTAATTAAAGTATATTAAGTCTGCAAGACATGTTTTTTTGATAGAGAGGAGTTTAATTTGATGGAGTAGTATTAGAAACTGAGGCCTTTAAACTAGCCCACATAAAGGTGCTCGGCCTGAGCCTCGAACTTCATCGAGCCCAGCTCGGGGTCTCCTTTGTCCTGGTAACCTCTCCATCTGCCACCCGAAACCTGTTACCAAATCCCACCAAAACATGGGCCTGTGTCTCATCCTCCTGATGTCACATTTTTTCACTGTGTGGATCAAAGAGGCTTTCATGAGACACGGTTCACACACTTGATGAAAACCTTGTGATTTACATTCCCCAGAGCCCTCTCCATGACTAGATTAGAGACTTTAATGCATGACTGCATGCTTGTTTAGACATTTCAACCCAGCAGTGACTGTCTTTGGCATATTTTATTAACATGCGGGGCTTATTTGTGTCAATTTGATTTCATGTACATCGGTGGGGTGTTATTTCAAGAACAAAAGCGTACAGTTGAAAGTGAACACTGACACAGCTTATTTCAGACCAGCATCCAGCTGTGCTGAGAGCACAGATGTCCTCTGGAGACGCTGACCTCCTCCTGTTCTGTCTATTGGACCAACAGACTCCTGATGGCGTGGACGGGGCTGCCAAAGACCTGCCTGTGGTCCACACAGAGACCAAAACCATCACCTACGAGGCTGCTGAGGTGCACACAAACACCATGTGACTTGACAGCAGTTCTCCTGTTTGCGTCCGACAGATGAGACCGAGATTCCCACGCCCCCCTTTTTTTTCTTTTTTTTCTCTCCGTTACCTCTTGAGGGAAATATTCAGTGTTTGGAAGCTTAAAGCTCGACTAGTTCCCAGCCCTGTCTATGAAGTGCTGAGGCAGCATATGGTGGAGAAACGCTATCTGAAAAGCCAAAACAAGCAGCTGCTCTGACAGAAACATCCCAACTTTATATTATGTGAAATAACTTTTTTTCTTTTTTTTCCCCCCCAACTGAAAAGCCAAGACTATCAGTTGTGGTCTGGCATTAACATTTTAAAAGTGATACGTTTTTTGAGAAAAAGGGCAAAAAATCGTAACACTTTTGATTGAAATGCAACAGGACATTAGAAGAATGCCTACCAGGTCAAAAGAAACTCGGCAAATATCTCTCACAGTGCCAAGAAAATGCTTCGATTAGTGTCAGAAAGGATCCTCTGTTCAGGATGAGCTCACTGAGCAGTCCTCTGCTCTTTTTAGCCAGTATATGGGAGGGGGGGGTCCAAAGTTCCCGGGGAGTTGGTCAAACCGGTGGCAGGGTGTTATAAAGCGACAGTTCTGAATGCTTTTGGGTTTGTTGTAAAATGTCTGTTCATTTTGTTTTGAATCCCAGTTGTTTAAAGGAATCTCGGAGTGAAATGTGAGTTAAAGGCCCTGAGATTTATTTTAAAAAGAATGCACTTTTACAGGAGGCTCAAAAAAGAATGAGGACAAATAAAGTCAGATGGCTTTTACAGCTTTGCGGATTCTAAGTTATGTTATGTCGACTTTAACCACAGAACAAATAATGGAGTGTTTCTGCTTGTTGGCAGGTGGACACTAATGGTGACGCAGACCCCGGGGTGTTGCTGAGTGCTCAGACCATCACCTCGGAAACCAGCAGCACCACGACAACCACACACATCACAAAGGTCAGAGAGCATTTTGGCTCTGGAGCTCTTTAACAGCTGCCGCCTTCCTGTTGTCTCCAGACGAAAACCGGGACACAAATTGCACATTTTCTCTCACTTTGCGTCTCATTCTTATTCTTAGTCTTAACAGTGGCAGTGTGTTTTAAAGTGCGTCGTTCTGTGTTTTCTGTTTGTCAGATGGTGAAAGGAGGGATATCAGAGACGAGAATTGAGAAGAGGATCGTCATCACGGGGGATACGGACATCGACCATGATGAGGTTTTCACTCTATTAATTTATTCCCTGCTATCCTTAACACAAATATTTACATTAATATTCGGCCAGACTTTGGCCAGCCAGTCCACAGGATAATATACATTCATTAAATGTGAACATGTGACATTTTAAACACATTATTAACTCATTATGCAGCTTAACAAATGCTGAAACTATGACAGATGTGACTTAAAGGTGACTTCCCTGTTGGCAAACTGACTTACAATCCCAACATCCCTGCCCCCTCCCTGCCCTTCTCCGTTCTCTGTCTCCCCCTGGTGTTCCGTCCTGGCACTGCACTCCTGTACATAGGCCCTGGCTCAGGCCATAAAGGAGGCTAAAGAGCAGCATCCTGACATGTCAGTGACCAAAGTAGTGGTTCATAAAGAGACAGAGATTACACCAGAGGAGGGAGAGGACTGACCCAGGTAAGACCACCAGACCCCAGCCCTGCCCCCCCCCCCCCCCCCCCCCCCGGCCCTGTCCGGTGTAGTCTGGGCTCCGGCATGCAGCTTTCCCATCAGCACTTCCTCTAACTGGTCCAGATAACCCCGCTTCTGTAGCACTCAAAGCTTGTGCATCATGCTGTTGTCATTCCAGCTCTGCTCTGCAAAAAAAAGCTAAAAAACCTGACAGCTGGGGCCTGTTTGCACACAGACTGGCGCTGATAGTCTCAGCTGGTAATGACAAAGCTCAAAATCCTGTAGCGTAAGGCCGCCGGCACTCCCAGGCCTTCCTCACGAGGCCGCCACTCTGCCGCCTGCTGGCCAGAAACGGTTTGGCACGTCACCAGTCTAAAGCTTTGCATTCGTTTGTCCAAACAAACATGAAACATCAGCAGTGAAGCTGTCACGTTTCATGTGTTGTGTCCCAGCATTTCTTTACATTCTGTTCACATTGTGGTGTCCCACAAAGGGAGCTGCACGGATGAGATTAAATACCCGCCCAACCGGCTTCTGCTTCTCATAGACTTTGAACAACAAACCTACCCATACAGACTGAAATCTGATCTTTCTGTGTACACAGATGTGTGTTTTCAGCTCTTGAAGCCCTGAAGCACATCTACACGTCAAAATCTGTCGACCTCCTTTTCAGATTGCCTGTGGCTGTGTGTAGTTACAGTATCAAGACGACCTGTTGAGGCGCACTCAGCCGAAGCCGGTCGTGTTAGATGTTTCTTATGAGTTTCACAAGTTTAAAGCTGCAACTCTTTGCAGAAATGAAAGGAGTCCGCCTAACCCTGAGGTGATTAGACGGGGTGATTCAGTGTTGACAGAATCCTCCCCAGTCAACTTTTTTTCTTTTGTTCCCCCCTTCGTGTGGGAGGAAGTAGGTCAGCGGTGCTTGTCGCAGCGCGTCCACGAACGCGGGCGCCGTGTCCCGGCTCGTCCCGCCGGCCGTGCTCACGCCGGCCAGGAGCTGCATGACGGCACACGTTTTTAATCGTCTCCCGAGCACTTTCCAACATGTGGGAGCTGCTGGCGGCCTGTTCCCCCCCCGGCTCCCAGGCCTGCGGTTTCATTTGTGTTGGACTGTTACGAATCCAGGGCGCAGGATTCGGGATGTGCGAGCATGCACGCGTGTGCTTGTGTGATTCAGCAGACGGGAATGTCTGTCTTTGTTTCTGCAGCTTTGCCCTCAGTCATGTGTGTGTGTGTGTGTGTGTGTGTTTGTTATCTAAAACCTGTGTCTGAAAGGGACTACTTATTCTTCTGTGTGTGTTTCTTAAGCTTGTTGTTCCCACTGAAGACGCACATTTGGGGCCAGAATATAAAAACATTTAACAGCTGTAAGTCCAAGTTCCTTATCATGCTTTATTCACCGAAAGGTTTTTATTCTGATCGTCTCAGAGGACCTATGAGTTGCATTAAGCTCGATCACCTCGTCTTTTAACCCAATCTTAACATTTTTAGATTATAGGGGATAAGAAATAAAGTTGCAGTAAGTTGGTTTTATCTGTACACGACACGGAAGCAAGAGCTGAAAGGTTCAACATCTCAGAGGGACAAAGAGACACTTCGTCTCAGCCCTCTTCCTGGAATCCACAGGCTGTTGTTACACTGCAGTGCCTCCTCCTTTGCTCTATTCATCAGGCTGCAAATACTCACAGAGAAGACCCCTGTCTGGGTTTCTCAGTGTTTTCCCTCTTTGGACACGTTTGAAAATGTCATGAGAGAAAGGAAAGAGGGTAGAAGACTCCTGACACGCTGTAAGCTTTGAAGAGGGTCTGCATTGAAACTGTGGATGTCCAGTAATCCGCCTCAGAAAGCACATTAAGTACTTAGCCTAATACCGTTCCTCTGTCCATCGACCCTCTGTTCCATATCTGAGACAGAAGGTGCGTCGACAACGTTGATGAGTTTTCCGATTTAAAAGCAGAGAAAAGCTACAAAAGGGAAAATGCCTGCTGCCACAGGTTGACAACAAAAAGACAAGTTAGACTAAGTAAGAATATGTGGAGGTTAAACTCAACCCTGGGGTCACTGGCTGCCTCAGAGTTAAAGGGAGCAGCAGGAACGTCTGTCCTCCTCCCTCCTTAAATAGTTTCAATTAAAGTCCGACCCCCACAATGTTTCCACCCGTCAGCTCATTCCCGCTTTGTTTAATCCTTTATATTTCACTTCAGTCGCTTCAGCTTTAACTCCCTGACAAATGAAGGTGACCGGAGACCGCTGAATAACGCATGATGACGGGAAACAGCCGAAAACTGCTCATCAAAGCTAAAAAAGAATCTCCGAACAGACAGCAGGATCTCTAAAGATATGAGAATTCATGCTGAGATTCTGCCCATGTGGAAGTCTTTATTACGCAACAAGCCTGTGTGTGTGTCTCTGTGTTGTGTGTCTCTCTGTGTGCGTGTGTGTGTGTGTGTGTGTGTGTGTGTGTTGTGTGTGTGTGTGAGGAGGTCCGTGCTGCCTTCACCTCTGGTCAGGTCCGTTCTGTCCGGCAGGCTGCACCGGGGCAGTAAAGCGCACCGGATGTGCTCACTTCTGACTCCTCTGCTCTTCCAGGAATAACTGAGGGTCAACTCTCTGTCGAAGCTCCCCGATCCCCCCCAAAAAACATCCACAGCTCTCCACCTCTCCCATCGGGACTCTCAGACGACGCCGAAAGCTCCGACTCTCCAAATCCTGCAGCCCGCCGCCCGTCGCCAACACCACCTGCAAAGCAAATCGATGCATTCTGCATGAGAAGGACGCAACGTCGCATTTTAAAACCAACGGCAAGATCCCACTGAAGGCCGATTCCTGAAGTGGTTTAGATCTGCCTGCACGCCCGGCCACCCCCCCTCTCCCCCACCCCACACGCGGGCGCAGCAGCAAAGCGTTTGCTTTCACTGCCTTACCACTGACGCATTTTTACGATTATTAAGGATCATTATCCTGGCGTTGTTTATTTATGAAATGAAGCCATCACTCCAGAAACGTCAAATCGCTGTAGGCTGAACATGTTAACCCGGTGGTAGAAGTGCCAACCTCGTCTGCCGAAGCAGACACCGCTTCAGTCCCTTAAACAACGCAGCGAGTTTTAATTTTTATTCTTTTGTTTTTCACCACTGCAGAAATCATTTCAGCTCCGCACCTCACACATCAAAGCTTCCCGAGGAGAACCGCCAATCATCTGTCACACTTGATTCCTTTACCCACTTGCATTTCCTTTTTTTGTTTTTTTTCTTTTTTTATTGTAATTTCAGTGTTTCTATTCGTGTTTTTCATCCGTTGCGAACGCGCCGCTGCAGCGTTTTGCCAGAAGGATCTGTTCTGGTAGAAGCCAAGGAATCAAAAGCAGAAGAGAAAGGTTTTTATGTGCCGTGCTGAGGGGCAGAGGTCCGGCTGCAGCTCAGCTCCCGGTTCGTGTCTGGAGAAGAGCTCAGACGGCTGAGATCTGTCCCTGCTCCCACCACCCCGAACATGTCCGCTGTGTGCCTCCCCTTTCTGTTCTACTGTACCTGAACAGTCTTCATGTGCGTCCATGTTCTCCACAAGAAGGCGGAATAAAAGTGACAAATGCATTTACTCTTTAATTTGTCCTTTTGCTCTGAAATAATAAAATGACCACTGAACCAAAACTTGTACAATGGACCCGTTTATTGATTTGTCCTTTTGATCTAAGACTTTTTTCATTTCCATATAAATGAGGTCAGGTGGTACTTTTTTCCTATTCAATAGTCTAAATCTTGTTTTAAAGCCAACAAAGGTTTCCTGACAGCTTCTATCTGGGAATTTTAAATTCATAGCTTCTGTCTGTCTAAAAAAACAAAACCTCAAGACTTTATTTTTATTGATTAAACAGGAACCTAATCTAAAATTGACTTCATAAAAAAAAGGAAAAAATTATCATGAGCGTGTGAACTTTGGCTCATTCTTTACATTAAAGGTCTCTTAACACTTAATTAACCTTCTAATGGGAAAGCCACGGGCGAATCAACAGGCTTTTTCTGAGCCAATGGTAATTAAGCTGGATCCATGGAGGGCTGGGAAGCCCCGCCCCCCGGGAGGTGACGCACGTACGTGCCAAAGATCTGCAGAAAAGAGAAGCTGTCACTGTGTGGCGAGATTTGGAGGGAAATCACACCGGTTTGAAAGAATGAAGAGATTTGAGCTCCCTTTAAAAGATTATCAGAAAGACAGCCCAGTTCATGACGAACAGTAATAGCTTCCGTGGACTACTTCAGAATATTAACACAATTTATTCTGTTCCAAAAGTTACAGGACCGACTTTATAGACTTCTTTTGCCATCAAACTTTGATTTACAGAAATATTCTCTGATCAACACAGTCTGTTTTAGGGATTTCTGCCCCTGCTTATCTTGTCTGTGGAAACTAAAACGTGTTCTCAGCGTACAAGTGGAGCAACTATTGACATCTAAAATTTCATCTTATTTGTGCCTATAAACTAGGTTGTCATAGAAGTCACTTTTTTAATCAAAAAACGATTAGAGTATGTCATCTTATAACTAAAAGGCACTAAATTATGATTGTTAAATTATGATTAAACCAAAAAAAACGACCCAAGTGAATTGGTGGTTCTTTGGGAAACACTCTAGAAATGTTGTTCCACGTGTTTGGTGGGTTCATTTTGGATTACTTGGACGTGGCACTCGGATCCTGGAGAGGCATGAAAACATGAACGAGGGTGGCTGTTTCGTCCCAAACGGCAGCGGCGGGCCCGCTTTGCCGCGCGGAGTGGCGCATCCGCGCGGCAAAGCGGGCGCAGTTCCCGGGTGCAGTTCCCTCTCCGGTGCTGTAGGTGGCAGCAGAACAATGCCGCGTTTCCTGTGAAACCTCGCAGTCACAACAAGAGGAGGAAGAGGAAAAACGACAGCAGCTCTGGATCGGGAATCGTCGTCGACTTGCCTTGCGTGACAACACGGGGATCGCGTTCAGGCTTTGGGTATTTGGCACTTTTTTTTCTCTCCTCTTCGCGCTTCCGCGGCGGTGCAGAAAGCGGCGCCGCGGGCTCGGGGCCGCGCGCCCGCCCTCCGCCGCGCGCGCCGCTGCTCGCGAGCTGACTTTCAGGCAGCAGAAACATGCCAATGGAGGCTTGGTGGCCAAAATGGCTGGGCGCAGTGAAATGTGAAATATTCTGGCGGCGGTTTTTTCCCCCCCCTTACTCTGCGTGCCGCGCGACTGTCACGCGAACGCCGCGCGGAAAAAAAACAAAAAGCGAAAAAAAAAAAAGTGAGCTCCGGTTGTGTTTTGTTGTTGTTACTTAGCTTCGCTGCGGCTCGGCTAGACTCGACTAGCTCTCGGGGCCTGTCGCAGTTCTTTTTTGGGGGGGCTTTTCTCTGTGCTCGACTCGGGTACTTTTCTGTGCCCCTCCGGCTCTCCGGGGAACTCCGGGAGCCGGACGGTGCTTTCGGGGCTGACCGCTGAGCCCGTAGCTCGCGCCCTCCTGTCCACTCGCTAACCCCTGTACCGCTGATAGAGGCGTGCAATCAGAGCTCCACCCCTCAGCTGTGCCGGACGCTTACGTGCACTGCTCCGCGAGTCCAAACGTTTGACAGGCTGATGTTCTCTTCCCCCCCCCCCCCCCCCCCCCTATCCCCCCCCCCCTATCCACCCCTGCAGGTTGCTCCTTTCCGACCTGCAGCATGTCTGATCTACTGAGATACATCGACTACGACCACAAAGCCACGTTCCTGAAGATGCTCAACCAGCAGCGGATGGAGGGCGAGCACTGCGACGTGGTGGTGGTGGTGGAGAACATCGAGTTCCGGGCCCACCGCTGCGTGCTGGCCGCCTGCAGCAACTACTTCAAGAAGCTGTTCAAGAAGCAGAGCGACGAGGACAACTCCATCGTGGAGCTGGACTTCATCCGCTCGGACATCTTCGAGGAGGTGCTCAACTACATGTACACGGCGCGGCTGGCGGTGCGCAAGAAGGACATCAACATGATGATGTCGTCGGGCCAGATCCTGGGCATCAACTTCCTGGACAACCTGTGCACGCAGAAGCGGGAGCTGACCAACATGAAGACCCGGGAGAACCAGGCGCCGGGCGACCACGGCATGCGGGCGCAGGACGCCATCCTGAAGGAGCTGGCCATGGAGGAGGTGAGGAAGAACAGCTTCTACGACCAGGGCATGGACGGCATGGGCCCCGGCGGCTCGCACGTGGCCGCGCCGCACAACTACAACACCAGCATGGGCAAGGACCCGCACAACCACAGCTGGGGCTCGGCCACCTCCAGCGACATGAAGCTGGAGTACCTGCTCTACGGCCACCGCGACCACGGCTCCTGCCAGGGCGCCGGCGCCAAGCCGCTGGACCACAACGCCAAGAAGGAGCGGCTGCTGACCGCCAACCGGCCCTACGGCTGCGAGCACTGCCCCAAGGCCTTCACCACCGCCGCGCACCTCAAGGAGCACCTGAAGATCCACTCGGGCTTCAAGCCGCACCGCTGCGTGGTGTGCGGCAAGGCCTTCATCCGGGGGCCCGACCTGAAGCGCCACGAGCGCGTGCACAGCAACGAGCGGCCCTTCGCCTGCCAGATGTGCGAAAAGGCCTTCAAGCACAAGTCCCACCTGAAGGACCACGAGCGGCAGCACCGGGGCGAGCGGCCCTTCAACTGCGGCTCCTGCGACAAGGCCTTCATCAAGGCGTCGGACCTGAAGCGCCACTGGAACACCATGCACAGCGGCAACCCGCGCAGACAGATGTCGCTGTCGCCCGTGGCCTCCCAGCACGGCCAGGCGGACGCCGCCGACCAGAGAGACTGGAAAATGGAGACCGGCCCACACTCGCACAACTCCGGGGACTGCTGAGCCCGCGCCGCACACACACACACATTTACACACACACACCCATACGCACCCATACACGTCCGAGACGAACCACACACACGCGGGCTGAGTGGCCTCGGGCCGCACGGACAGTGATGCTGGGGGGGGGGGGGGGGGTATCATAGCATGTTCATAAGACTGTGGGGGCTGTATTATTATTCTAAAGAGTTATGTCGGAGCGATGTTTCCTTTCCACCTGTAAAGTCATGTAAATGTTTTAGTTCACTCTACGATACATCTATTTTTCACAGAGCATCGTCGCTATCTAGACCGGGTCCTCACGGCGTTCTTCTCTTTTACTTTAACGAGATATGTAACATTTAAATGTTTGTTTAACCTTTAACGGAGTTTTTATTGAGATAAAAGAGAGAAGCAGAGTGGGTTGGGTGGGCGGGGGGGGGCAGCTAAGGGGCGGGTAGGGGTCGGGGGGGTTGGGATCTTTCTGCATAACATATGTTGCATTGAGTATATTCATGTGGATGTTTTTAATGGATGTGTTTAGTTGTGTTGATCGATATTACACTGTAAGAGTAAGAGTCACCATTTCGCATTTTGGCGCAGACGATACCAAAGTCTTGGGGCCCCGGCGGGATGGCCTCTCAGAGGCCGTCCGGCCCCAAGCGACCGGCCAACTAGATTTACTGTTATACAGTATAACCGTCATCCAGCTATCAACAGTTCATGATAGGTGTCTGTATATACTGTAGCTTAGTTTGTTGCACAGCTAGAGTACACGATAATGAATTATGCACATATAACGTTGTCCTACTCCCACACTTTGACAATAAACACCATTTGCTGTGTTTTACTGGTGTCGCCGGGTCGGCCTTGTGTGCGCGGGACCCAGCCGGTCAGAGAAGCCGCGTCCGGCTGGCCGGCCGTCCGAACGGGCGGCGCTCTCGTTTTTTACGGAAATAGGTTGAATCTGCGTTTTTCTGTCCGGGCCTCTTTTTCCCAGAACTTTTTAGACTGGGCTTAAGGCGCCGTCGGCAGGGGCTGACCCACTGACCCAAATCCGACCAGGAAATGTCCAAACCCGCTGATATTCGGTTCGTTTTGTCCGCCAGTGAAAACGACACAACAAAATAAACTGCCGTGCGTTGAGTAGAGTCAAAAGTAATGGCAGGGCGCTTCACCAGTGGAGGGGTTTTTCCTCAAAAAGCGTCTCGCCCTTCACCCGATAGCCACGTCTGGCTGCCTGCTTACGCTTTTTCCGTCGGATGAAAGTGACCCATTAACCGTTCATTACGCTTACTGGCCTAAAACAGAGGGGTCAAGCGGGGTCACCAAACTCGTCCCTACGTGGGAACTTTGTGTTTTGTTCCAGTGTCTGGACGTCTCATCCTGTCGCTCTGATACTTTTTGTGTTACTATTTTTCTGGCCTTCCGGGTCGTGTGGTCACTTTGACCGACGAGTGGGCCCAAAGTCGCGCCGATTCACGCCACGTTCCGGACTTTTTTTATCGCTCATTTTCTGCAGCCGCGGCCCCCCCCCCCCCCAGAGCAGGAGGGCCTGCTCCTTCCTGGGGGAGGAAAGCAGCCCCTCCACCTTTTTCTCCGTTTGTTTTTGTCCACTTTGGCCGCCCTTCAGGTCAACTCCTCTGTCGTGCGCCGCGAGAGGAGGACGCCGCTCCTCTGTGTGACCACCTGACGCTGCACCCCCCCCCACACACACACACACACACACGCCCAACATGGCCGTCCCCCCGCCCCTGCGGGAGCAGCCTCCGGGTCCCTCCCATCCTCCCCGGTGGCCCCTAGATGGTGCCCTGTTCCTAGGGTTTGCCCCGCCGCCCCCCGGCTCGACCCCCCGGGGCCGCTGTCCCGCCGGACGGGGGGGGGGGGAGGGGGGGGGGGGGGGGGGGGTTGTGCCGAGGGGCGTCAGGATTTGTTGTTGTTGTTGTTTTTTACAAAGGGAAGGGAAGCTGAGGGGGGGGTACAGAGGCCGGGTGTGAAATGTATGCACCGGCTCAGACCGCCGTTTTCCGCCTTCTTCCACGCATCCCGGAGCCTGGAGCTCAGCCCGTTGTGTGTGTGTGGGGGGGGGGGGGGG